ATTCATCTGCGGACTCTCCAAGTCCTCATGCTGTACATTGTCCTGCCTTTCTCCCAGCACGAATTGTTGGTGATAAGTCCGACAGTGGGGAGGCTGTGGCTGCAGAGTGGCAGGAAAGAGAGGAAGTAAAGGAGAAGGCAGGGCAAAGGAAGAGTAAAAGGGTACGTGGAAAGGAGGGCCATGCAAGGCGCTGCTTCTCACATGCTTCCCACCAGCCATCTGCATCCAAAGCAGGGAGGGAAGAGTGTGGGCTCAGAGCCATACACACTTAAGTGCAAGCCTTAGGGCCCCATAATTTACTAGCAGCTTGATCTTGGAAAAATTACTTAATCTTGTACAACTAAAAAGTGGTGGAGCTCTGGGATTCAAAACTGGTCTGTCTGGCTTAAAAGAGCCCAAACGTTCTTCCCAGTGTATGCTACATCTCCCAATCCATACACACACAATAGACTTTTCAGTGAGGAATACAGTAATTAATAACTTCCCAGATGGCAGTTGAACTTGTTTTTAAATTCCTATAGTCAAATAAGTTGGGGGAATGTTACAAGAAGATTAGTTGGAAAGAAAATGGTGTCATTTATTATCAGCTCAAAACATTCAGAATTGTCATTTGTAAGAAATAAGCTCATTATTAATAGAAGATTACTTTTCTTGTCTTTGTGTGACCACTTTCTTAAATTAAAAATAAACTTTTTTCCCTTATTGCAAAAGCAATGCATGTTCATCTAATACAAATTGGAAAATAAAGATAAGCAAATAATACAAAATTAAACACGCTCTTAATCCCTCTGCCCAGATCTAACTGCTGTAAATATGTTAGTATATATCCTTCTAGATTTTCTGTGCTTTTATAGAGATTTTGAAAAGTCATAGAATACGTTCTTTCACTTTAAACGTCTTGTCAATAACATTCTATGTGAATACATTTGCCTTTACTACATTATTTTTTTATATCTGCTTATTAAGGTGAATAATTTTGTCTGATTTTAAACCACATTTGTTTACTGAGACGTCAGAGACCCACAGATAAGGAAACATCTGAAGAGCCCAGGTGTGGCTATGTGGAGAGGCTGAGTAATTCAAAACAAAGTACAAAACATAAAAACAATTACAACCAGTTTGACAGTTGTACGTCTGTTTCCTATGGCCTCTACCCACAAGTCTACCGCTGACTTCAAAGAAAAGTCAGCACAGAGGAGGTCCAGAGGATAAGGTGCAAAACGAGAATCAAACCCACGATAAGAGATTAAAGGAAGGTTGATCAAAGACCCAGCATAAAAGTGCTAGCCCATGACTTGACTTGGCCCATGGCCCCAAAATATTCATCAGAACAGAGAGCTCTCTTTGAAGCAATTGGATGCATCCATGCTGAGACAAGCTCTCTGGTCCAAGGGAAATTTAAAGAGTGGCCCAGGAAGGAGTTACCAGGGTTCCCTCTTCCTCCCTCTGCTCTGCACATCCCTCACAAACTGAACATTATTTCTTTGGTTTGTTGTGCAGATGCCAGTAGTTCAACTCTACTCTTTGCCTCCTGGGAGATGTGAGAAGTACAGTTGCATTTACAGGATGGAGAATTTGCACTCATGATCAGAGACCTGAAACCTCCAGTCGTCTTTTTTATTCAGAGTGTTTAAGGACAGGTGGTATTTCCAAATAGGCAGTAGGACTTGTTCATGACTCTCCTTGTTCATTCTGCTTGTTCATTACTTGTTCACTACTTTTCTGAGTAGAGTTTATTGCTCTGTGGTATCATGACGGAAGCCATTCATTTCCCATGAAAGGGGAAGAAAACAGAAGTGCCCCCTCCTGGAATAACCTTCACAACATTCAGCTTAAATGTTTTTGAGTATCTTAAAAGAGAAGAGTTATGTATTGCTAAGTGTGTTCTTAGAATGTCTGTAGCTAGCACTTCTTTCAGGCTCTAGTTTTCTGGTTTTTCACTTTGCATAATAATCTTCTATGTATTTAGAACCTTTAATTTTCACCTTTCCCATTACCATATTTTTACTTCCTTCAAAGTTCAAGGGAATTGCTTTTTCTCTCTACCTTTTTTAGATCAGTTTCCTAGCCTTTAACTGAGGTGTTAAAGTTGGAGTTCTTACTGGCAAGTCTTGGATTGAGCACAGTGTTAGGCTCTGTGAGAGAGAAAATGCATTTTCTGTTTTCACAGAGCCACAGTCCAGGTGAGGAGATAATGAGTTTGCATGCAAAAAATGAATATGTTGTGAGCTGATACAGACTTTTCTCAGGCCAGTCTTTCATAAAGAAGGAGTACTTGGAATAGGCTTTGAAAATGCCTGAATTTCCAAAATGAAATAATATGAAAGAGTATTTATCAGTACATCTTGGGGCTGGGTAATATGGTCAAAGTTACAGAGGCAGAAAACCATAAGGTGTCTCAGAGAAACTGAATACACTCATTTAACTCTGAAGGATGGCTCATCTGAGAAAGTAGCAAAGGAGAAGCTTCATTAGTTCTATCAGTGTTACAATGTGCTATGGAATCTGGATTTTATTATGATTGCAAAATGATGGTGTTGAAAATTTTGGAGTGGAAAATGACATTCTCAAGTATTTTGAGAACATGACTCTGCCTGTGGAGTACAGAATGGACGTGGGTAGGAAGAGGCCTGGAGCCACAACTTGGTCAAAAGTGCACAGAGTCTGAGAGAAAGACTTGAAACAGAATGGAAACAATGGGAAGGATGACATGTACTCTGGAGGCAGTGAACTGAGAACTGATCTGACCTCTGTGACGAGGTGAGAGGAGGGGAGTGATGGGCTATAAGAGAAGATGGTAAGAAGACTCATAGATGATTCAGTCACAAATAAACATAATTGCACCCCTACTACCTAGGTGCTAGGTGATACAAAGAGACTAATCACATCAACAAAATGGTTAGGTAGACAGAGTAGGTATTTACAGTGAAAAACTCAAAGTAGTCTCATCTAAACATTGAAGACAGAGTGAGGCAATGAGCTCTCAGGAGTTGGGAGAAATATTCCTTGAAGTTTTGAGTCACAGAAACATCAGGGAAGAGATGGAACATGAGCTGAACTTTGAACGACGGGTAGAATTTGGAAAGAATGACAAGGGCAATCAAAGCTGTGGGATGAGGAGGTTAAAGCAAAGGCACAGGACTAAGAAAACACAAGGATCGTTTTGACACATTGACGAGGTCCATCTGTTTGGAACAGAGTTTGCGTAAAACACCAAAAGAGGAAAAGGGGAAGAAGGTAGGGTGATCCATTTAATCTGGTAAAGGTTTAGAAACCAAGTGTAAGATTTTATTTTTACTTCTGAGACAGAGTCTTTCTCTGTCACCTAGGCTGGAGTGCAGTGGCGCAATCTTGGTTCACTGCAACCTCCACCCGCTGAGTTCAAGCGATTCTCCTGCTTTAGCCTCCTGAGTAGCTGGGACTACAGTGTCTGCCACCATGGGCAGACAATTTTTGTATTTTTAGTACAGTTTGGGTTTCACCATGTTGGCCAGGCTGGTATCAAACTCCCAAAGTGCTGGCATTACAGGCATGAGCCACTGTGCCTGGCCAAGAGTTTATAATTTAACCTGGGAAATGTCAAGCCACTGACATTTTTCAGCGAGGTTGTGGCCAGTGTAAAAGAATCTTTTGGGAAGTTTGGTTTGTGAAAGATGTGTAGAATATATCAAGATGAAGAACTGGGTGACTTCTAGTCAAAAAGAAATGATGATGTAAACCAGTTACCAATCAGAATGAGAGGTATGGAAGAGGGGCAAAGGAATTACCAGTAAACCAAGGGGAAATGGAAATACAGTTTTACCCAAAGTTTCAAACCCAGGAGGCTATGATAGCAATGTGCCGTATACTAAGGCATAAAAATCATGAGAGGACTGGCTTGGTAACAGTCCTGAGCGTTTTGTATTAAAGAGCTGGGTCCTGAGGTTCCAGCCAGACAAGCAAACATTCTGAAAAGGTGGTTCAAAGTGGGGGCTTGACGTTCAGCTGGAAACCATATTTACCATACCAAGTTTAAAAAATCCACACAATTCAGCAGTTGTTCAAAGTTTTTAATTAATTAATTGATTCAGAAAGTGAAATATTCTCCAAAGCTCATCTGAGAGCTCTATTCTCTTGATACAGATGAATTCTCAGTTGCTCTTTTGTTTTCGTTCCAAAACAGTTCAACTTGTATGAGACTGAAAGTGGGGAGGGCAGGAGCAGAATTTTCTCTGTTCCAGGTATAGACATTATGGGTATTGGGCCATATTCTTGTCTTCATTGGTAATAATTCCTGTTTCATACATCTTTCTATCAATTGCAGCTCTTAGCAGAGTCAGCGTCTTGATTGTAAATACTCAGTGTTGGTTGATTTGCATTTTCATCATAGTCCTGAAAGATAAAAGTGGACCTAAGAAAAACTAATAAGCTTACAGTGAGTTTTATAATGACAGACTCTATATAAACAAATGCAAATTGGATGTCAAATCTGAATTACAAAATTTATTTGAGCAAGGTCCAGGAAGTAATAACAGTGGCTTCAGATCCTTTCTAAAATGATAGAAATTCATTAACAATCTTCCATGGCTTGGAGTCTCAGAGACATTCAAAAGTCACAGCACTTTGAAGAGCACAGTTGGCAACTAAAGTTATCAGAGTGAAGAATGACATACTAACCTCAGGCGCAGGATGGCCAACTCAGAGTAGACCTCTATTATTTGTTCTTCTGAGATAGGAACTAGCCAGAAAACTTAGTGATTCGGGGGTGGGGTGGGAAGGCTGTGGGACCCAGGGTGGAAGGACCCACACAGTTCAAAATAAAACAAATCAACTATAGGGAAGGAAAAGAGAACTATGCACAGATAGTATTCCTCATCCACCTGAATTGACTTATATAAAAAAGAAAACGGAGCATACGACAAATGGATGCAATCAAAAGGGAGCAATAAGCCTTTTTCTCCTTTTAAGCTTCTTAAGAAATGAACCCATCATTTTATCTAGTGTTTTCTTTGCTCTTGCAGCTGCTCGACTGATCCAAAACATGGATGCCACCGCTGAGCCTTGTGCAGACTTTTTCAAATATGCCTGCGGAGGCTGGTTGAAACGCAATGTCATTCCTGAGACCAGCTCCCGTTACGGCAACTTTGACATTTTAAGAGATGAACTAGAAGTCGTTTTGAAAGGTTAGTAGAGAGTGTGCCTGTGCATCAAAGATTTCTCTCTTAATATGTTCATTTTTAAAATATACAATTGTTAGCCATTACAAGGAATGTCACAGAAGATTAAAAAGTTAATAATCCTTCCAGGATTTATGTGCCACCACCGAGTCACTTTGGTAGGGGCGGACACTGAAATTAATATGCTGACATCTCTTAGCATTCCTGTTTTCATTTGTAGGTATGCAAATGATAAAGCTGTATCATCCCTAGAGATGGCAGGTTTGGTTTTTGTTTGTTTGTTTGTTTGTTTTTTGAGATGGAATTTTGCTCTTGTCACCCAGGCTGAAGTGCAATGATGCTATTTTGGCTCACTGCCACCTCTGCCTCCCAGGTTTAAGCGATTCTCCTGCCTCAGCCTCCCAAGTAACTGAGATTATAGGCACCTGCCATTACACCCAGCCAATTTTTGTATTTTTAGTAGAGACGGGGTTTCACCATTTTCGCCAAGCTGGTCTTGAACTCCTGACCTCAGTTGATCCACCAGCCTTACAGGCGTGAGCCACTATACCCACCCAAGATGGTAGTTTTATGTCATTTTACAGAAGAAAAAAAAATTAAATGATTGATGCAGAAACCTACTTTTGTAGTCTCCCTACCCAAACCCTGTGTTAAAGTCACTGTAAGATGTTACCAAGATTTGCCTTCCCAGCACAGGTAGATTCTAACCTGGCTAAGACTGTCTCCCTGAGAAGTTAAGAAATCTAGACAAGTCCCTCCTATCCTCTGTTCTGTGTTCTCCCCTCTTCTAGAAGTTATTTTGTAGAAGAACAATTTTTGCTACTTTTTAACGTTGAAACAAGTAGGACAATTCAATTCATTCATTTGGAGCATGAACAGTACAGTCACACAAAGATAATTATTTTCTAGCCTTCAAAAGAACTATTCATACTAAATTCCAAATTCCTCTGTGTTATTGTTTTCTTTTTAATCTCAATTTCAAGAAAAGTAACTGTTACCTATTGCAGAGCAGTATGCATCACTGTTCATTAAAAAAAAGATAATCTAGTCAAAAGGACTTTCATCTAAATTGGCTGATTAAACTGACTCCCAGTTCTGTGCTAGGACTGATAATCCGGTAAGGGGTTTGGTTTTTCCTATAAGGTTTTGGAACTTGGGTGAGGAAATGAATGTACCTCCAGAAAAGCGAGTTCTTGTTTCTTTTTAACTGAACTCCCTTTGCAAATGTTAATTACTGCAAATGAACAATTATGCTTGCATAGTGCAAATAAGCAATTATGTTGATGCATTTTATTAAATGTCCTTATTTCAGATGTCCTTCAAGAACCCAAAACTGAAGATATAGTAGCAGTGCAGAAAGCAAAAACATTGTACAGGTCTTGTATAAATGAATGTAAGTGCTCTTCATTTGATTTCGTTAGGCGTATGCATATATTGGTGCCAAACTATGCCTAGATTTCTAACTGAATTTATGTTTGTTGTTTTCAAAAGCTGCTATTGATAGCAGAGGTGGAGAACCTCTTCTGAAACTGTTACCAGATATATATGGGTGGCCAGTAGCAACAGAAAACTGGGAGCAAAAATATGGTAAGGCAATTTTCCTACTTAAAAAAATAATTTCCACGTAAAATCTATGTTACTATAATATCGTTGATGAACTAAAGCTTCTAAAGATATATTTTATCTTTTATTGCTTTAGGTGCTTCTTGGACAGCTGAAAAAGCTATTGCACAACTGAATTCTAAATATGGGAAAAAAGTCCTTATTAATTTGTTTGTTGGCACTGATGATAAGAATTCTGTGAATCATGTAATTCATGTAAGTTTGTGTGGCAAATAACTAAAGTTACCTTTAAATTGTAATAAAACTCCCACACACATTGTTGTTATTGCTATTTAGAAATAATGCTATTTTCAATTGAATTGAATAAGCAAGGAGGTAGTATATTCATGCTCTGTCCCTAGTACCTGGAGTCCCAATTTTGAAAATATTTTCTTAATGCTGTGTTTTAGACATTCACCTCTTGCTTCTGCTACCTCTGTTTTAGATACCTCTCCCTTCACAAAACAAATGATAAGAAGGGCTCCAGGCCTCTCCTATTCAGAAAAAGTTCCTAATTTCTTTTTATGGTACTTGAAAGGAGCATGCTTTGGTTTATAGAAGTAATGCAGGTCTGGAAACCAAACAATAATAATTGCTTTCAAAAAGAACATAGAAAAGGGATTTTAAACATAATTTTTTTCCTCACTAAAGAATATCTGTACTTTTATCTCAACTAAAGGTAAGAAAAATGCCTTTCTTTTAAAATGGATTTATTGTATTTTTAAAAATGTAAATAATTTGGTTTAGATATCACCTAAGACTAGATTAATGAATATGTTTGGAATGTACTGAAAAATTTAGAGTTTTTCTTTCCTCCTTTTTTTTTTCTTGGTTTCCTGTATAAGGAATTATACCAAAAATTGCAGGTTACTGAATCACCTAATCATATCTGTGTCACTATTGCATAAACCTTTACGGTCATTTGTATTAAAATCATGAAAGGAATTGAACCCAAATCTCCTGCAGGGGACTCTTTCTCTTCTGAAACTTTCTCCTTGCAGGATCACCTTGAGGGCCAGGGCATGGGGAAGGATCAGGGCCCTTCAGGTGGAGATATCTTCTGGCTCTTTCCATACCAGTTCTTTGGATTTTGTTTCTTTTGTATTGGCCTAGGCCCTCCACAGCTGCTAGGATTCTCTCTTTAACCCAGAAATGCTCTGTTTCACCTCCACACTCATGTTGCCATGCAGTGAGTAAGAAACAATCTCGCAAAGCTGCAAGTATGCCCAGGTAGCTCTCACTTGGGTATTATAGATGGACCAGACACATTAGCGTGGAACTGAGTTTCATCTTTCATACCCTTAACTGCTATCTGGGTCTACTGAGGTTCTTCTGAGCAGAGCAGCTTTGGGGAGAACCATGGAGAAGTCGCCTCCATTCCCTTAGGGTAGAGAATCTTAAAAAACATTTTCTGGCACAAGTTACATAAGCTAAACTGTTCTGGAGTTACCTTAGAGGTTTTCCACTTCTCCTCCCTTTCTCCCCATCCATCCAAATCAACTTGAAGACTATTAACCCACTCCCTCCAATGAAAGGGGATCCCAACTAAGGGTGGGAGCAGATGAAAATGTTCCCAGGGGAGCACATTAGAATTTCCGGAAGCTGGGAAATCTGTGAATATGTAATTTAGAAATTTCCACGTCCTGGAATCTAACATGTTTTTGTTAACTTGCACCTTCTGCTCTGCATTAAAAAGCCCTCCCAGTAAATCTTTTGTTCACTTTCTTTTATTTTCCTTAAATATCTGCAGCACAATCCTCCAGATTATCTAACTGCCCATTAGTATAACACTTACAAGTAGTGTAGAAACCATTTCCTAACTAGGTATTTACCCAGTGTCTGATGGTTACCCCTATAAACAGCAAGAGTAGGATCTGTCACATACATAGATAGGCATGCTTGTATTTTTCTAACTTTTCTATATTCGCTGAATGATTTATTTTCTTTCATGTATATTTTTTATAGATTGACCAACCTCGACTTGGCCTCCCTTCTAGAGATTACTATGAATGCACTGGAATCTATAAAGAGGTAAAAAGAAAAAGAAAATAACCAAAACCAAACTACAGAACCATCTGGTGTAAACCTATAAGTAACGAACAAGGCCAAAATCAAATTTAGCCCTCTGATATTTTTCATTCATGACAGGGACTTAAAATCACACATAATAGTGAGCTGTCTGTGATAGAATGAACATTCTCAATAGAATGAATGAAGGTATTTTACAAAACTAGGAAACTTGAAATTCCTTATTTGTATCTTGGTTTTTAGTATTTAAAACATATGATCTATTTTGAAAATTAATTTAAAGTATTTTAATCCACCTGTAAACTGCATTATTTAAAAAATGAGCAGATTTATCATGGTCTAGGGTGGTGCTGGTGAGGACCAGAGGGTCAGTGAGAGATACACTATGTAGCATCCTTCTGGAACCATCTGATTTGACTTTCAGAGAACTATGCAGGTAGTGGCATTGGGCTCAGACAAATTTTTGCAGCTACCTTGTGACTCTAACATTGGCCAGGTAGCCAGTGGGCATCATATCCCACAGTGGACGTTTGGATGTTCTGGAGTGCTTTCTTATTGTCTCACAACCTTGTCTCCCTTGGGCTGATGTTCACGTACTCAATTTTTTTTTTTTTTTTTTTTGAGATGGAGTCTTGCTCTGTCCTGTCACCCAGGCTAGAGTGCAGTGGCATGATCTTGGCTCACTGTAGCCTCTGCCTCCCTGGTTCAAGCAATTCTCCCAGCCTCAGCCTCCCAATTACCTGGGATTACAGGCGACCGCCACCACACCCAGCTAATTTTTGTATTTTTAGTAGAGACGGGGTTTCACCATCTTGGCCAGTGTGGTCTCAAACTCCTGACCTTGTGATCCACCTGCCTCGGCCTCCCAAAGTGCTGGAATTACAGGTGTGGGCCCTGGCTCACGTGCTCTTCTCACAGAAGTAAGGAACAACAGGAGACAAAACTAGTAATCTTACACATTATTAGATATTGGGGAAAGGTGTTGGTTCTACAAAGGTTTTTCTTATAATTATTTTGTAGCTCAAAAGTAAATTATCTTTGATGATCCTAATGTCTCACAGTGTAGTGATGTGACTAAAATTACATTTTATTTTAAATTACTAGCTAAATATGTTTATGATTGGCATTTATTTTGCCTAATTATGAAGTTCAAATAATATGGAATGAATTCACTGTAAGGTATCTTTTTGAATGACTGCACAACACTGAAATGAAGAAAAAGATCTGTTATCAAAGGCTACAATTAATAGCACAGATAAATACATGGGTGTGGGATATTTGGGTTCAGTACAATCTAGTTACTGTGTGGGGTACAGCTACTGGCTTTAAGAGCTATGTAGCTGCTTTCTGTTACAGATTTGAAAGTGATTGAGGAATTTTGTTTCACTATTGTACATTTTTATCACCATCAACTGGGATGCTTTTCATATTTAGGATTGTGTTCTTATATCAAATTTTTCAAATCCTACAATACATACTATTTTTTACATTTTAATATTTCTGATATTAAGGTATACCTGGCAGTCAATGTATATATTTAAGGCAGTAAAAGTTTTTTTTTTCCCCCAAGTGTTAAGATGTTGTATTCATGCATTTTATACTCAATGCTATCCCATAATCTCAGACAGGTCACAAACTGGCAGTCTTTGGCTTGAATATGATATAGTAGCATTTTTGTTTAACCTGTAGTGTTTTGGATTTTTTAAAATTTTGAATTAGTTGCCAATATTTTACAAAATTGAAAGATTTCATTTGAGAATCCAGATTTCTTAGTAAATCAGTAGAATTTGAGCCCCTAGCTTGCATTCTTATATGGCAGCAATTGGCCAGAGTGGTGTTGTGGTTGCTCCTTTTAGAAAGGGCATGTGTTGGCTGTGCACGGTGGCTCATGCCTGTAATCCCAGCACTTTGGGAGGCTGAGGCGGGCGGATCACCTGAGGTCGGGAGATCGAGACCAGCCTGACCAACATGGAGAAACCCCATCTCTACTAAAAATACAAAATTAGCCTGGCGTGATGACCCATGCCTGTAATTCTAGCTACTTGGGAACTTGGGAGGCTGAGGCAGGAGAATCACTTGAACCCAGGAAGTAAAGGTTGCAGTGAGCCAAGATCACACCATTGGACTCTAGCCTGGGCAACAAGAGCGAAACTCTGTCTCAAAAAAAAAAAAAAGAAAAGAAAAAGACAAAAAAAAGAAAGGGCATTTGTTCCAGGTTTGAACAGTCCTCATCAACATGATTCATTGATTTATATTGACTTCTCAGCTCCCGTAGGCACTTGATTTTGCATATTAGTCTGGTCTTGGCTAAACCACAGCAGTAAAAATACAAATACAGTAGCTCAAACAAGAGAGAAGTTTACTTCTATCTGTCATGCCAGTCCAGAAGTAGACAGGCCGTCTAGATGAGGCAGGAAGCTCTGCTCCACGGGAATGTCTGGGAGCCAGCTTTCTTTGATTTTGTTGCTCTAACATCAGCCTCCTCTGGTGTTTTTCTTAGTCTATTTGGTCAAAGTTGGTTCGCCAGTGCCCTGTTCACATGTCAAGCCACAGGAAAAAGAAAAGAGGGAAGTGGTAGACAAATAGTTAACTTTTATGTAAATGGTGCAAAACTTGCATACTTTCCATTGATTAAAACATTGTCATGTGGCCACAACTAAATATAAAGGAGGCAGGAAAATGTAGTCTTGAGCAGAATGTCCATGTCTGTGCCTTGTTAAAACCTGATTGGCAGAGAGGAAGGTCGTATCATTTAAAAGATGAGGAGCACATATACCAATGTCATTTAGCAGACTCTGCCACAGTTTACATCCACTGATCTAAGAAATACTGTATTTGTGATCAAATAACACAGTGGTGATCAAATCTAGAATCAGTAATATGTTTATAGAGTTTATGGGTGAGAAATCTGAGGCTCAGAAGTTTGCCCTCAACACTCAGCAAAACAGTAGTATAGTGGCAAATTTTGCTCCTTCTGTCTTCTTCATTCTATTACATTATTACAATCTCTTAAGAGTTGGTATTTCATACTAGTAGAGTTCTTTGAATGAGCAAATGATAGAGGAAACTCACCTGCACTGGTACTTACAGCCCGGAAGTTATTCTCAGCTTAAATCAGGTGCTCTTCAACAATCTGAATCAGACTAGCAAATACGCACCATGCTTGCTGCCTTGCTCCTCTTCCACAAATGTACTTTTGGTGACATCCTTCTTTCCTGCTAACCTGAGATCTTAGAATTCTTCTAAAGGCAGTGCTCCAAGCTGTAAGCAATCTCCTTTCAGTGGAAGTGAGTTGCATATAAAATAAAAGCTACATGTCATCCTAGAAATGGGTAATTATCTGAATATTTCTGCACCCTCTCCCTCTTTTTACATCCATTCTTTTGGGCATGGAGGTGAGAGTGTGTGTTGTTACAGTAAGAATTCCAATGTTATCCTTATTTTTCCCATGATATTTTCTACTCTCTCCAAATCCCTACCCCCTGCAATCCCTCAGTTTCCCCTGCATCTCCAGCAAATTATCAAATAAAAGTTAATTCTAATTTTTCCACTACTCTGCTATCTTTGAAAGATGTCAACCACCTTAAGTACTTCTGTCTTGTGTCTTATTGCTTCATGAACAAAAAATGGTGAGAAGTGTAGAATAACAAGTTTACCTTCAGTAGAGGAGTTATAAATCTGGAAGAAATGTTAATGTCAGTGTATCATTGGGCTTCAATGATTTTCTCCCTTATAGGCTTTTATATATGCTTTTCCCTTTGCCTAGAACTTGCCCCCCCCCACGCCCCAACACACACACCACCTGCCCACACTCTTTCCTCTAATATAGTTTTCCTGGCACCTAGGTTTCTGTATACTTCTTATTTAATGTCTTTTTTTTTCTATAAAACTGTAAATTAAATGGAAACAATGCTGTGTCTCATTGCCCTTTGCTCTTTTTCTGATACCTACCTCAGTTTCTGGTCCTTAAATACTACAGAATCAGTGAATGAATGATTGAGGGGGAAGACGTCAGGGAAGAGAGGAAACAAAAGAAAGAAGAACCCAATCTTCTGGAAGCCCTTCTTATTTCCTTCCCTTGATTCTGGGAAACATGAGCTTTAGGGCATCAACAGCTAATAGCATACATTTCTTGAGCATTTTACAAACTCTGTGTTCTCTTGCCTTTTTTCAATCCCCAGTTATTTCTTTGCTAAACTCAGTTTGCTGAGGTGTATTTATACAATCAATGGGTATCATGCACTTGCAATTTACATTATTTTATTGAAGATAACTAAGAGAAGTTTTGAGAATTGGCATAGGGTCACCAACTATTTTTGTCAAAGAAAGATGTTTTTAGACCAGAGAAGTCTGGCTTCCTTGCACATCGCTTTAGCCTATAATTTTAAAACTTTAGTGTGGGGTCTATCTTCTGCAGATATGCCTCAGAGGCTGAGGATCAGGGAAGGTCACATTCCCTCGTCAGTCAAAAGTACTCTAATCACAGGTCTCCTTAATCAGATTATTAACTCAGCCCATTTCCCCAGGTCTTCTTTGATCCTTCCTTCCAGGATAACCCAGGTCATCCAGAGGAATCATCTTCCATAATCTTAAAACTGAACTTCATATCAACTATGAAAATAGCCCCTATAATTACTAAGACAGATCATTTCACTTGACATTTTTTTTTTTTTTTGCTTTGGATACCCGCATAATGGAATTTTTGTGTTGTAATATTTGATTATTATTACAATCTAGAAAGGAAAAGTGGTATGGAACAGTTGCATCATCTCAGAAAGGGGCCCACATTCACCGTGTCTGCCATTCCTAACAAACTGTTCTCAAAATATTCTCATCAAGGAGCTTCTTGTGATATATCTTTGTTAAAGAGGTAGAACCTGAGTTCTGAGGTATTCTGATTATCTGAAGAGATTACTTAATGACACACTGCTACCTCAAAGAACAGAGTAGTGAGATTCAAAACAATTCTATTCCTTACAGGAGTACAAATTTCTATGCTAGGAAAACAATACGAAAGAGACACATGGCCCATAAACATAACCATGCCCATTCACAAAATTTTTAAATGGAACCAACCAGCCCCCTCATGTGAGAAAGTTCTTATATATTGATTCACTGAGAGGAATGAGGACCTTATCTTTTTTAAGGAATCACCCACCTTCAGAAGAGTCTGAACTCTGTATTGGGGGCGAATTGGAATTGGTCTCAAATCTTCCCTTTCTCTACCTTCTTAGCGTATCAAGAGCAATTGTTATCTTACTTTGTTCTCCTTCATAAAGAAATCTGAAGGTTAGGAATCCAAAATATTTAAGCATAGTTAGATAATAGATATGTTTATGCTCTGTACTGATGTTTGTCTGAGAAGGAGAAATAAGTGAGGTTAGTGGTTTCCAACCCTAAGGACTACTTTGTGTGTGCCACTTACAGGGCTCTGTGCAGAAACACCTCACATATACACACACTTCAAAAGCCACTATAATTTATTTTACTTGTGCGTTTATATATCAACAAAATATTTCTTTGAGTAGAGCATTTCAGGACTAAAAGAAAAGTGAGAAAACCACTGGGGCTAGAGTTTGAGAGCATAAGGAGGTGGGGAAGGAACTGGAGAGTAGAAGCTACAGGGTATACTGCTGCCGGGCATGGCTAGGGAGGAGAAGCCAGAGTTATAAAGAAGTTTAGAGCCTTCACAAAATCTGGGGTTCATAAAAATGGAGACATTTTAGGGACGAGGATAGAGGACTTGGAACATGGGCATGATGGACTGAAGCCAGAAAGTGATGACCCAGAGTCTGTGCGCCTAGATCAGAAAAGCCAGGAGAAGTCTCCAAATTGTACGTACCTGGGAAAGAGCACAGGCTGAGATTGGCCATCCTGTAGATGAGCAGGTGCAAGCTCGAACAGAGACTTAACAACACGGGATTTTCTTTGTCCACCTACCCAGTGTACAAGCTGAGAGAAACTGTTCAGGACTTGAGCTAAGAATAGAAGTTCCGAGGAAATAGGAAGTGAGAGAAACTTAATATATTTACAGTTTAACTTCATTGTTTTTTAATTCAACAGATCTTCATTGAGCTTATGCTATGTGACAAATACTTTTCTAGGCAGTAGCGATTCCAAGGAAACAAGGTCCTTGTTCTCATGAAACTCATGTCCTAATGGGAAGAGATAGACAATCAATAACCAAGTAAATAATTTAAGGAAATGAGACAAATCGTGAGTGTTATTAAGAAAATAAATCAAGGTGATAGAATAACAAGTCACTTGGGTAAGGCATGGGTGATTCAATTTGGCTTGCTTAAACCATCTCTGACTGCTGTTTGTAGAATGTGTTTCAATGGAAGCAGAGAGATCAGAGAAGGCCACATGGTAATTCACGTGAAAGATAATGATGGACTCAGATGGTGGCAAGTCAGGTAGAGAAATCTGAGCAGACCTGAGATAATCTTGTGTAGGTGGCTCTATCATTATAGGGAAACAGTTTGTGTATTTTAAACTGCTCGGCCAATACGTGCCTCGGTGATACGTGGCGGAGCTTGTCTCATTGCATAACACAACTATGATATGATAAGACGGAGCTTGCAAGGGAAACTGCTGACCTTGCTTTGTCCTTTCTGGGCACCAGGTGACTAATAGTCAGAAGATTTCACTCAGTTCAGTTATCTGTGTTTAAGAAAACAAAAGGGAGCTTTTAAACATGAGATTTAGTGAATATGACAGAGAAATTTTGAGATCAACTGAACTCAGTTTGTAAAAAGAACTAGAATCAGCCCCCCAAGCATGCAATAAACCTTAGAAGTTATACAAGAAGTTGTACAAATCTTCAGGTTCTTATTAATAACCTGATGAAAGCCGCAAATGGTCCCTATGCTGGTCCGAGTTCGGGTCCTCTTAGGCCCCATGTTCCTCCTGCTCTAGCGTCCTGCTTGACTGGGGGCTATTTTTTATTTCCAGTGCCCAGAAATGGCTGCGTGACTATGTTTGCAGTCTGTTGGAGGGAAGCAGGCCTCTGAGGTAGTGAGCATAGTACCCGATAGTTAGTGTTTCAACCCTTGCTGCACTCTCCCTCCACCCGCTGGTAATCCTCAGCATCTATTATTGCCATCTCTATGTCCATAAGTACCCAACATTTAGAGGTACCACTCACAGTGAATATAAGGATGACCCTTTCACTTCTAATTGTTCAGTAAGGATGTAAAATATTCTTAAAACTGTGGAAATGTTAAAGCACATTATAGCACACTTTATGGCCTTTCTTTGTATTTACCCTGCAAACAAGTCTTTGAAGCATAGAAATCTCACCTATCCATAATCACAATTGACTGCTTTACTAAATTTTAAAATGAGGTGGAATTGTAATGTATTTTAGCTGCCAGTAGGTAATAATGGCTAATAAATAGCAATTGGTTCAAACCTAACGAAAGTGGGACTCTATTTCCTAGTGTTCTTTCACTACGGACTTGAATAAGGCATTTACATGTTCTGTAAAAGGTTAGTTATACAACTATTCTGTAGTTTAGCAAGTTAAGATGTATGTGAAGATAAAATATAAAGAATTTGAGTTATTAGAAGAAAACTAATATCTAAATCTATGGTATCTTATAGTGAAAGTTTACAGTAACAGGAGCTATTTATGGAATTAAAACCTACAGGTGTGTATTGGTGGAGCTCCTGACAACACAGCTTCAGAAAAAAGAAACTGCTTGACTCAAGGAGACAGATAAAAAGATGTCTGATTTTATTATATGAGTTTATGGTCATTTTTCCATGAATAGTTGAGAAAATGATTATATATGAGCACAGAAAATCTGAGAAAAAGAGATTTGGTAAAGAAATAAATTATTATGACTGGGCACGGTGGCTCATGCCTGTAATCCCAGCACTTTAGGAGACCGAGGCAGGCAGATCAGAAGATCAAGAGTTTCAGGCCAGCCTGAAATCCTGTCTCTACTGAAAATACAAAAAATTAGCTGGGTGTGGTGTGGTGGGCGCCTGTAATCCCAGCTACTTGGGAGGCTGAGGCATGAGAATCACTTGAACCCTAGAGGAGGAGGTTGCAGTGAGCTAACGCCACTGCACTCCAGTCTGGGCAACAGTGTGAGACTCCGTCTCAATAAAAAATAAAATTTAAAAAGAAACGTATTATTGTTCATAGAAAAAATTAGTATATGTTATTGCTTATCAAGTGTTTTGCAACTCATTCTAATTAAGGCAAAATAACTTTATTGAAAATTTAAAATTACAAAGTCTCCATAACTAAGTGCTTATACATTACTTAGTACTTTCAAAGTGATACCACATTGCTCTCCTTTAAGCTCTAATTCAAAGATATATTGACTGTCTAAGAATCTGTGCAGGTCACTTCTTTAAGTATTTAGAAAAGGATTTTTATTTTACTAAGGTTATCTATTACCAAAGATTAATATTGAAATGAAAATAAATTTTAAGTACCATGATGAATATTTAGAGCTTCTCCAACAGTTTAGTGCTATTTATTTCTTGCAGGCTTGTACAGCATATGTGGATTTTATGATTTCTGTGGCCAGATTGATTCGTCAGGAAGAAAGATTGCCCATCGATGAAAACCAGCTTGCTTTGGAAATGAATAAAGTTATGGAATTGGAAAAAGAAATTGCCAATGTAAAACGCATTTTTTTTTCTGATATACTGAATAATGTCAACCGCTTTTTTTTTCTTTCCCCTCTCTATCATACTTTAAGAGTAAAAGGTACAGCACTTTAACAAAGTAGTAAAAATGCATGGCTTGTTAATAGATCATTGACTTCAAAAGGACCTTTGAAACTAAAGAATTTTATAGTAAACTGGGTTCCTGACATTTAAAAGACACACTAAATTGGACAAATATTAAACTAGAAACACTTAATTGCCTGTTATAAGTGGATTTCATCAGAATTCTACCATTTACAGTCAAACTGTTGTTAGATGCCCTTCAGACTCAGGGCAAATGCAAAGCTGTTTTAGTTTAGATATGTATAGAATGTTACTTTATTTTAAAGTTTAAAGTGATCACAGAGATTGTCTCTATTTCTTTGCTAAGAAGTATTAAACCCCTGAACATAGCCATGTGGCAATGTGATACCACTGAGTTCAAATTGTCAGGCTGCTGAGCTGACAGAGGATAAGACAATAATTTCGCAACAAAGCCCAAGGAGTGTATTCCTGAATTTCTTCTGGCTCTAGGTCAACCCTTGGAGTCTGAGTTGGCACTTTCTTCCCTGATGATTCTTTGATAGGGCACTGCAGTCTCTGAGTATAAACAGCATCCAGGTTATTGATTAAACCCATGGTCAGAGTCAGTCTAGGACCCACAGAGTTCTCTTTGTCATTGCAAACGACAACCTGCATCCCTGACTCCCTATACTTGCCCCTGCCATGTAAGCTCATCAGAATCTTGAAGAGTCAAGATCATGGAGGGCAATTTTAGCTTTCCTGGGGCTATGTGAAACCAAAAATCTCCTATCAGAACCAGGCTATTCTTGGAGGGGCCACTGAATGAATGGCATTTGAATGGGTTACATGTGGTTCTGTGTTGGAAACAGACTTGCTAGAGGAGAAATGTTTCCTGCTCTGAGTTTTTGCCACTTGCACCTTCCCAGACTAGGCTCTCCTTTGACCAGCATCAGCTCTGTAGTTGTTGTATCTTATCTCAGCATTATGTGTCTATATTTTCACTCTCGTGTTAGACTCTCGTATTAGATTGGTATGAGGCCTTAGCCATTGTTGAATCATTTATGCATCTCTAACAAAATCCAGCATAGTGTTGCACGTAGGACATGTTCAATAAATAATTGTTTTCATTACATGAATAGGTAAGTGACCTAAAGCAGAAACTGGAGCCATAGTCACTGAGAAATAATTGCAATTTTAAACCTTTACCTTTTGTCTCTTCTCACTTAAAATTGCTTTTCCTTATTTCAGCCACTAGTTGGGGAGTTGTTATTGCAATTTTTTTTTTAATTCAGTGAAAGAAATAAAATTGGATGCTGTGCTGCTGCATGTAGAGCACTAAACTGGTCTGGCAGGGTGGGAGAACGGTCACAAAGGAAGGTCCATGATGTTGCCACTCTCAGATAATTGCAACCAAATTGTGCTCTCTACCAGGAATTTTCTGTGTTACTTGCCATAAATTCTTGTAGAAACAGTGGCACCTATTTTTCCTTGCTAAATTTTAACTAGGACACTGAATGGTAACGGTGAAGATGGGAGAAAGAGTATTTAAGAGAGAAATTGGAGATGACTATATCAAAGAAAGTTAAAATATGAAACATTCACAGACATAACTGAACTGGCCTTTAGCCATAGCTCATAAATATTGCTTATATGGCTTGGCAGTTGTCAAAATGTAGAAAGATTTTTTAAAAATTTTAAACTTGACACCACAGCCAAATCTCAATAATTCTTAATAAATATACTCCAAAAATCTCTTACATTTCACTTTTTTTGAAATGACAAAACAAACTACAAAAACAAGTACAGAATAAGACTTAAATTACGTTATATCTATCCTATATTTTACCCTCAAATATAGTTATATTTTTCTAAAGAATTCTTAATTCTAAAATAGTGATTAAAAATTAAATCCATAGGCTACGGCTAAACCTGAAGATCGAAATGATCCGATGCTTCTTTATAACAAGATGACATTGGCCCAGCTCCAAAGTAACTTTTCATTAGAGATCAATGGGAAGGTAAGTGGTAAGTTTTTTGTGTTCTCTTATTGTGCCATTTTCTAAATTATAACATTGAAATACTCTTTCTAAAAATCATCAAGTTTTTATTTATTGAAATAAATGAGACTTCAATTTTTTTTTTTTTTTTTTTGAGACAGGGTCTTGTTCTGTTGCCCAGGCTGGAGTACAGTGACACAATCTTGGCTCACTGTAACCTCCACCTCCTAGGCTCAAGCAATTCTCCTGCCTCAGCCTCCCAAGTAGCTGGGATTGCAGGCATGCACCATCACACCTGGCTAATTCCTGTATTTTTAGTAGAGATGAGGTTTGGCCAATCTGGTCTCAAACTCCTGAGCTCAAGTGATCCACCGGCCACAGCCTCCCAAAGTGTTAGGATTACAGGTGTGAGACACTTCTCTCAGCTGGTAAAATTCCTTTTAAGGCAGCTATACAATACTAGAAACTCCCATAGGAAAGGGTTTGGAAAATACTAAAACTGAACATCTTTCTGAGAGGCCATTATATAGTCATCAGACTTGGACAGTCACACAATAAAAGCACTAGATTTCCTTTTAACTCTGAAAAAGGATAATTTATTCATAGAATTTCCCATGTTCTCATCAAGGCCATCTACAGAGGTGTTCAGAACAATAATTCAGAAATAGAACACAAATAAAAAGAAAATCTCTCTCATAGATTCCATTTATAAACAACAATTGACTTCTTTTTCCTTACCTAGTATCCAATAATCTCTTTTTGTGGCTATGCATTTATTCTTGTGTATTAGTTGATGCACACAGCCAAGAAATGAAGCAGCATCCATGGGAAAATCTACAACCTCCACATTCAGCGATGGCGTTCTCTTTGGCACTAATTCTAGTTAACAAGGACTTTTCCAAAGGCATAAATTATTGAGTTAGATATCTTACATATATTTTTAAATATAATAAGTGTTTAATAAATATGTTTTGAAAGAACGACCTAAATCACCAAAGGAAATGAAGAAAAGTGCATAGCATAGCACCCCATACTCAGTAGGTGATGTGTGCTTGTGTTTGTGTGTGTGGAATACAGCCTAAGATATTGATAGTCTTAAACATTATCAATTCTTATTTAGAAAGACAAGATTTCATCTTTTGGCAACTCCAAACTTAGCTTCTGAAGTGTAAACATGGCATGCCTGTAGAGCCAATATTGATAATTGAAAAGATGCTGTTTTCTTTGACTTCATAACATCACTGTACCACTGCTATAACAGTATGTTTTCATCTGTAATAGAATTTCCACTGAGATGTGTTACTGTGTTTGAATGGTTTATTAATATCCATTTTTAAAAGATAAACACTTTATACATGTTTCCATTTTTGCATCAACCAAAAAAGCTTTATTTTTAAATTTAAATTTAAATTATATTTTTATTTCTGTATTGGTTAGACGAAGAAGATGACATTAAGCCTAATTTCTAGGTATATGTTCCCTAAGCTTAAAGGCTTTGTTTTTACTCTTAAATGGTTGGTTTAATTATTCTATGTAAATAATCATTTAAAGAACTAGTTTTTATTTAAAAACTGATTGAAACAGTTGAGGACGAATCCGAAGTGAATATCAAACTGATCAATGTGATAATTATGTGATGCAGCTGACACCCTTTAATGTCCAACCCTCTAACTATAACTGAATCTTGGAACCAAGAAGAGAAATACACAATTTCTGAATGTTTCATGCCTGCTTTTTTCCAGCCATTCAGCTGGTTAAATTTCACAAATGAAATCATGTCAACTGTGAATATTAGTATTACAAATGAGGAAGATGTGGTTGTTTATGCTCCAGAATATTTAACCAAACTTAAGCCCATTCTTACCAAATATTCTGCCAGGTAGGTATGTCACAGTCCCCGTGTCTTCAAAGTTTGTATTTCATATCACTCCTCAGAAGCTTTGCAGCCTCATCTTTTCTGTTGCTGGGTGGTGGTTTTTTTTATACAGAGATCTTCAAAATTTAATGTCCTGGAGATTCATAATGGATCTTGTAAGCAGCCTCAGCCGAACCTACAAGGAGTCCAGAAATGCTTTCCGCAAGGTGAAGAAAAAATCTCTCTTTTCTTAAGACTTAAAACACAAAGTGATACATGGTTATGAAGGCTTGCCATGTACACTGCTAGGACATGGTGAACTTTGCCAAGGGACAAAATGCCAAAGTTGGTTATCTTGCACATATTTAGGATATGTTGCCAAGGAAGATAAGTCTTCATGGGCTTCACCATCTTATGATGGTCTATGTGGCACCATGATTGCATTGTCCTGTAAGGAGTCACATTTGGTTATTTAACCAGTTCGTGAAATAATACCATCTTGATTTTTGTTGTTGTTGTTGTTATTGTGTTAAAAGTAATTTCAGGGTTATCTATTTTAATTAACTTGATTTTCAGGTGCTCATTGCACACTGGACATATGTACAGATGGACTAGATTGATGTGGGTGGTCTATTGAAAGTACCCCTACCTGGAGTTAAATAAGACCTTTTCTTAGCCTATACCTCTGTTATTTAAACCATCACCATTTTGGTACTATGGTGAGGGGAGTAGGCAGTAGAGGTTGAGGAAGGAGAGACTCCAGCAAACATGTTACTTGGAGTCTTGGAAAGAAAATAACATTGATTGATTAAAATTTCAAGTTTTTATCTTCAAAAATAAAATGTAGACATCTTTTTAAATTAAAGAATGCAAAAATGGTATTATGCTGGATCTCCCTTGCTTAGGTTATCCTGTTATTCTTAAATCTATACACATACAGGTTCTGTAAGTACTCAGAGTTCAGCTAAAATCTTTAAAAGCAGTAATGTGTTTTCTCATATACCATATTTCCCCCATTAGATTTATTGAATATGACTTCACATTTATGTTTGTACAGTGGTTACAATGTTGTATTTTTTTCTAATGCTTTCTACAATGATATTAACTTGTAATAGCAAAAAGTTCTACTGGGGCATCTACTGAAAATATACCTAGTTTTCAGATCATATATAAGTAAACAATCCATTTGGATTAGATTTCATCATAGGCTAGGAACATGTGCCTTGTGAGGAGAAGTGATGAATATTTCAAGAACTTAGACGAGACATTTGTGGAATGTGTGCTCTTAACATGCTCCAGACCTTTCCTTCTGGTCAAATGCCATTTCCTTTTCCTCTTCCATAGGCCCTTTATGGTACAACCTCAGAAACAGCAACTTGGAGACGTTGTGCAAACTATGTCAATGGGAATATGGAAAATGCTGTGGGGAGGCTTTATGTGGAAGCAGCATTTGCTGGAGAGAGTAAACACGTGGTAATGTTTTCAGAATGATACGTTGTCAGTTATATAGGACACTATCAGTTTGTTCACACTGATGAGCGATTACAGTTCTCCATCATGTGGCTAAAATTTTATTAATTTAGGCAGAGAACCTCTGAATCATAATATGCCATTGTTTCCCAATAAATCTTCCCTTGCCTTCCCCAAGAGTCTAGTTATGTTTCTGCTCCTAATACTGTCTAGTCCAAAACCAGCTCACCGTTTTCCAGAGGCAGTGTATTTGGAGTACCCAGTAACATGTTCTATTTATATAGTCATTTATAAACTCTTCTATTATCAAAATTGCCCCAAAATTAGTATTTTCTTAAAAACATAGAAAGTAAAACAGGATTCATTTGGAGTGTAAGAAATGTGCTTTATTTTTCATTGTTAGGAAAATGAAGACCATGGAACTTAATGGTATGGTGAAAGAATTTGTTGAAATGTTACTTTATGCTTAGCTAAACCACTAATGGTAATGATAACCCTAATATTTTATGTTAGTTCTTCCAGTATGATAGTGAAACCATTACATTCTGAAACTCATTTTTACCTTATTGCATATATTAAGACCTATTTAATCAAGAGTGTTGATAATAGCAATATTACTTTTAAAATATAATGGTCCCATATATTTGTTAGCTTAGGTCACAGTTTGTCTATAAATTTACATTTATTAATATATTAAGTCATACAAAGATAGCATGTAGCTCTATTTTTAAAAATCTGTGTTACAAAGAATGAATTAATGACCTATATTTGTCTTCTGTTCTGATTTGAGGTTGAGGATTTGATTGCACAGATCCGAGAAGTTTTTATTCAGACTTTAGATGATCTCACTTGGATGGATGCTGAGACCAAAAAGAGAGCTGAAGAAAAGGTAAAGAGCAAGCAGCTAACCAGCAAAGAAAAATCTGTATAGGAAAAATTAACTTTAAAAACATTTAGGAAAAAGAATATAATCAAAGATTGCATAAAAACTTGTAAGCTCTTTCAATATGTAATATTTCCCGAAAGAGTTTTTGTGGATAAAGATGTATTTCTACAATTTGAATCTTTTATCTCTGCAACCAATACTCTAGCAAGGTGAAAATGTTAAGTTTCTGTTCAAGCAAATGTAAGGTGGTGCATTATAAGATCTATAATTAAAGAGATGTTGAAGAAGCTTTTTGATAACTATTCCTGCCTGCCCATAAGGTGCAGCTTTTATTGAGACTTTTACTCTCTTGCATAAGAATAAGTCTAAGATTTCTTACGAAATCTTAGGTTTAAATTTACTGTGATCATTTGTCTTTATAATTACATAACAACTAGGGGGAATATGTCCTGTGAAAACTGTGAACATGTTTTATGAGCAACATTCACATGCATCCTGACTAATCTCTGTAGTTAGGGTGGCAGAAAAAGCAGACTCTTTGGATTGATAGAGGAGACCATAATAAATGTATTTTAATAAGATAATCAACATCTGGTCTAGTTTTCTTTTAGAATTAAATCACATGGAAGGATTATCTTCTTTCAGCTCTCAAAGAGCCCTGAGTGGGTTAGGCCTAGAACCTCAGCCCCTAGTATTGCTATTTTTCCATCACTCTGGCCAGCTCTTCAGACATTCAGGTTGGATTTGCTCCTTTCATGTCACAGCTGTGCATGACATGGTTCTGCTTAGTAAAGCCAGTTGGATTGTTCTGGATCAGCATTTCCAAAGTGGTGTCACAAAATACTGAATACGCAAGTTGTTCCACAAGAGGCTCATGGTCAAAAGAGTTTAGTATACAATTCTCGTAGGAAGGCTTCCCTCATCTCACTCGAGGCTAGGTTACATGCTTCTAGGGTGTGATTTTATCATACTTGGGAGTTAATATTTATTTCACTGCTTATCATTGCTGTTTACAATAAGCTCTTTATGGGTGGGGGCGGGGGAACAGAAAATATTGCCTAGCATTATATCCTCAGTCCTTTACAACATGCGTGGCCTTTGGAAGACCCTTGAAATATGTTGAGTGAATAAACTGATAAATTAATTTTCCATCTTGGACATTTATAATAACTTATGATTCTAACCTTATAATCTAACCCATTTTTAATTGTAAGAAGTCCTGCAATAAAGAAACTTGCTTAATGTTTTTGCTACAGTATTTACTCAAAGTATTTGACAATGAATTTTTTTGTGTGTACTATTTTATACTTTCTGTAGAATTTGTATCCTTTAGCACACTCTTTAAGGAAATGTCTTACAGGAAATAAAGTATCATTGAGTGGGGGCTGGTTTGTCATGACTGATGGCAAACCTACAAGAAAATGGGTTTGGCTTCAGTGACTTCAGTGATACATATGAGGTCTGATCCACTGACTGGGGAAACCCTGGGCTCATGTAACAGATTTATGATAAAACCACATCCATTTGATGGCAAACCATGTAACTCAGAGATACAGGCTAAACTCTTCATGAAAATTTTAAATTAATTAAATTATTTAAGAGTGATATGAAATGGTAGAATCAGAAGTCAAATATCATTGAGAAAACCAAGATAGAAATAAAACAAAAATAGAAATAGCAAGTAGTAAACAAGTGATAATGAAATAATAAAATAAGTAAAGTAAACCATTTTAAAATAATTTAAAATGAACTTTAGAAATAGTGGTAAATAGGCCGGGTGCAGTGGCTCACTGATGTAATCCCAGCACTTTGGGAGGCCAAGGCAGGCAGATTGCTTAGCCCAGGAGTTTCAGACTAGCCTGGGCAACGTGGCAAAATGCTGTCTCTACAAACAGTACAAAAATTATCTGGGCATGGTGGTGCATATTTGGGAGGCTGAAATGGGAAGATCACTTGAGCCCAGGAGGTAGAGGTTACAGTGAGCCCTGATTGCACCACTGCACTTCAGCCTGGGCAACAGAGCAAGACCTTGTCTCAAAAGAAAAAAAAAAAAGAAAGAAAGATAGTAGTAAATACATGATAAATATGAGCTGGAATAACAAGGAAAACTCTGTTTTCCACTTACCTAATTAATGTCATTTATTGAACTTGAGAAGATAGGTACACTGACTTTGGAGAATAAAGGAGAACATAAAAACTCCAGGAACCAATATTTAGGAATAATATTAGCAGTAAACCTATAAGCCCATATTTGTTTTCTCAGCCAAATCAATGAGGCAGAAAGATAATTATAACTTGCTAGAATGGAAGCTCTAAATATTACTCCTTCTAAAAACTTGTAAAAATAAAAAAGCCTTTGAGAGAAAAAGTTCATAAAACTACAAAATATGTGGAACAATGAGTTTTGTCAGTTTTCATGTTGGTTTTCTTGAGAAAGCTGCAACCTGTAAGGATAAGGCATTAGAAACTCAATTTCAGACCCAATTTTCCTTTGTTCTTGAATCTCCCAGGAAAGATCCATTGCAAAGTTCTCTGTTTAAGAATGTCAGACACTCGTTTTATGAACAGTATGGATCAAGTTATTCAATTGCTAGTCATGGACAGATTATAAGTGTGTATCTGAAAGTTACATAATCATCTTCACATTCAATATTATAATTTTCATAGGCCTTAGCAATTAAAGAAAGGATCGGCTATCCTGATGACATTGTTTCAAATGATAACAAACTGAATAATGAGTACCTCGAGGTAAGTCTCTATAAAGACTCTGGACTACTGATACTTAGGGCTGATAGTAGTGTCATTTTTAGCTATGGGGTGCCTGAAATTATGTGAAGTAGCCTAAAACCACAGGTCATATTATATAAAGCCTTCAACGCTGCAACGCTGGTGCCAGAATGATATTTGTTTTAGCCTTTTTGTTTTCATTAGCCAGGACTATATTTGGTTATTGTTCATTTGGTTTCCATATATTCCATTTTAAGAACAGTGAGTAAAATCTGGTGTCCTTTAAAGAGTATCAAGGAAGGGATAGACATCAAGGTGGTGAACAACAGGCAAGCTCCTTATCACGTTTTACACAGGCTTCGAGTTTCCTCCACCTTCTAAGTTTTCCTCTACTAGATAAACCAGTTCATGCCTACTGTATTTTAAAAACAAAACAAAACAAACCCTGATATTTGAGAACTGAAAACTATTTTGTTCTGCCCTGGTAATGTAACAGCTAAAAGAGCAGAGAGTTGCTTAAACTCACTACACTGCTGATTTCAGACTCAACTGAAAGTCCTGTTGCTAACTTTGTGGTGACCACAACTCCATGATACCTTGGTGACAGCGAAGTGATCCTTGCCCACATCCTGGGATGACAGTAATTCCTCATTCATTGATTACTAGTCTAGCGTGGGGATTTGCAAGCCATACTGCCTTCTTCTCTCTTTCCATTTGCAGAAGAAACTTGACTTTCTCTTTTAAATGATCTGGTTACAGTTGGAAGCCCCAGGGGTCCTTATAGCAGGAGTGTAGTGGCTACGAACATAGACTCAAAACCAAGTTCCTTGATTCCAGATCCCAGTTCCACCACTCATTTAAACTTGGGCAAGTGACTAAGTTGTATCTCAGTTTCCTTGACTTTAAAATGGGGATAGGAGCCCTTAGTTCATCGGTATTAAATGAGCATAATATTAGATTCTATTAGTATAACAGAATTGAATGAGTATAATGTATAATTTGAAGAACTTAGAACAGTACTTGGCACATGGTAAGTACTAAAGAAGAATGTATTATCCATATGTGTTATGTGAAGATTAATGTCATTAATGTGAGGTTTGTTTGAGACTTGATTTCATTTGATTATCATAAAATAATAGACTGAATTTGTGATTTGACTGGAGTACTGACTTGTGATATACTAATAGAATTAGGTTAATTGGAACTACATCCTTTTTTGGTAAGTTTTTTAATGCTCTCTGTTAACTTTATTGACTGATATAATTTAAGAAAACCCCTATGTTTTTTAGCAAAAATTTTGAAGATATTGGTTTTAATATTTCTCCCCAAATCTTTTATATAATATAGTTGAACTACAAAGAAGATGAATACTTCGAGAACATAATTCAAAATCTGAAATTCAGCCAAAGTAAACAACTAAAGAAGCTCCGGGAAAAGGTGGACAAAGACGAGTGCGTATATTCTCGTTTCTAACGTGCTCATTTAGAAGCAGGTCTTTCCCTCCTTTCTTTGTTGGATTAAGTGAAAGAGCCTCAGTTAGAAAAACATTAAAAAGTACAAAGTCCTCTTTTTATTGAGAACTTCTAAAAGCATCTAATTATGGTATACTAAAGATATGGGTCAAGAATTTAACCAGATTAAAATACCTTTTTCATTAAGGTATCCTCAAATTTACATTTCTTTAGTTTCGCCTTATATCATTGCCTGTCAGCTCAGTTTTATTTGTGAACAAGATTCTCAAAAACACCTTAGTTTAAGTAAGCCAATTCATAGCTCCTTTGAGCCTTCTCTTAGGCCTTACTCTGTGTCCAGAATTTTCTTCTGCTGACAGCCCCCTTTTTTCTATCAGTCAATCCCACAACTCCATCCCCTTCATAGATAGTTAATGTAAGACTTTTCTAATCCTGTGGCGGTCAAATAGGAGATACCGGGAACAATTCTTATTCATAGTCTTCTTATGCTCTTAATCTCTGCTTGTTAGTGACATCAGTACTTCATAGTATTAGTTTAGAGTTTATTTTTTCTATTAAATAGATATATCTAATATATTTATCAGCATGTGTGTTTATGCCCCTAAATTCCTAGAACCACTTATGTTGACTTTTTCTCCCTAGGCTCCTAGCCCCCAGAGAACAGGGGCTATTCTTTTTGACCATAAAGTCTCAGCGTCTAGCATACTGAAGAATCTCAGTTAAAACTAAATTAACGACCTAGCGAGCAAGTGAAAAATAAATATACCGACTTGATTTGTGTGGTAACTAACACAATAACATGCCAAAGAGGTGCTTGTTTCATTCATGCATTCATTTATCCTTTCATGCATTTATTAACATTTTGGAACGTGAAGTCCAGGTGTCATTGGGTACTAGGAGAATCAAAGGTGAACTTTGATTACATTACGAGAGCAGAAGATAGACAAGACATAATGTAATAAACAGCACCACCAGGAGGGAAATGTCGTGCCAAGCAAAGTACAAACTGCTGTGGGCTTATTTGATGATAAGACTGTTCCATTCTCAGTAAACCAAGTACAGGTTGGACAAAACTACTAATAGAAATGCCAATACATTTCAGTAATAAATCTAACTCAGCTGCTAAAATAAAAATGGTCACATCTGACTGGACCCAGTGGCTCACATCTGTAATCCTAACACTTTGGGAGGTCGAGGCAGGCAGATCATGGGTCAGGAGTTCGAGACCAGCCTGGCCAACATGGCGAAACTCTGTCTCTACTGAAAATACAAAAATTAGCCAGGCATGGTGCCATGCGCCTATAATGCCAGCTACTCGGGAGGCTGGGGCAAGAAAATCGCTCGAACCCAGGAGGTGGATGTTGCAGTGAGCCAAGATGGCGCCACTGCAGTCTAGCCTGAGCCACAGAGAGACACTCCATCTCAAAGAAAAAAACAAAAGGTCACATCCAAACATTTCACTATCATGGCTGGTGAAGATATACAACATCATCTTTAACAAATTCAAGAAACTGAGGAAGTCAAGAAGTCTGCATGTGAGATACCTGAGTTAATCATTTAGCTAAAAGGCCCTCCCTCTGCTCTTATGAGTGGCTTGCGCCTGCAAAGGGCAGGGATTTACTATTTTTTTTTTTTTAAGATTGAGTCTCACTTTGTCACCCAGGCTAGAGTGCAGTGGCACCATCTCTGCTCACTGCAGTCTCCGCTTCCCAGATTCAAGTGATTCTCCTGCTCCAGCCCCCCGAGTAGCTGGGATTACAGGCGTACACCACCATGCCCAGCTAATTTTTGTATTTTTAGTAGAGATAGGGTTTCACCATGTTGGCCAGGCTGGTCTCGAACTCCTGACCTCAGATGATCCACCCGCCTCGGCCTCCTAAAGGGATTTAAATTTTAAAAGCTCTTGCTTCATGTGGTTTCTGATGCCTAGTATGTGTTTCCAAAAAAATCTCAAACATTATGTCTTAAGGATTTAGCGCCAGTTGGTAAAGAATTTTAAACATGTCATTGTAACATAGAGATAGTGCTGAATCGGGAATGTAATAGCCTTTGGTTACTTAGTAATATTTCTAAAACATTTACTTCTAGTAACATGAATTTTCATTTAGAGTTCATAGAGCAAACGTAAATCTCTAAAGGAAAAGATGTACAAGAACAAAACAAAATGAGTCTCTTGTTGTTTTTAGACTTGATGTTATTTTGTTAGTTTCTCAGGACAGAACTTTCTGTGATGTAATTGTAATGGGTGTTGCTAGTGTTTGTGAATCATAACTGTTGAGCACTGGAGTTAACTTCTTGTAAAGTACAAAGAGGAATCTCGTTGCTGCGTCTCTCTTGCTGTTCTGCATCAAAATGAAAGCATACTGACATTGATAGGAGCCAAGTCAATAAATATTTTTTGAGCAGCTAGCCTATGCAGAGCACTGTGCTAAACAAAGTAGATGATAAAGAGAACAACATGTTGCCCTTTACTCAGGAGGCTATGATCTTAAGGGGTAGGTGATTAAAAATTAAATCTGATAAAAGGCAAGGTCTGGTTGGTGCTATTACCAGGAAACAAAGTGCTAGAACAGCACTTTTTTCAAACTACAAACCTTTACTTATTAGTAAAACACAATTTTTCAAACCACAATTAAACTTTTACTTATTAGTAAAATATTCTCTGGAACGAATATATCAGCATTTCCATTAATATTGAGGTGAACACAGAATTCACTAAAAACAAAACAAAAATGATTGGCTCGTTTCTGTCTTCCCCTTGGTTGCTTCAAGCGTGGTGTTTTTTTGTTTTATTTTTTTCTAATCTGGTCCAACTGGATGGTGGCACACCTCTGAAATAAGTGGAACCCCTAAAGCTGGAAGCTCAACATCTGTAACTCCATGGTACATGGAGAAAGTTCCTGAAAGGCCAGCACCACCAAAAATGGCAGAGCAGTTGGCACCCTGGGAAGTGACGCTGGAGTTTTGCCACCGCAATGAGTGCCTAACTAATACTCTTTTAGTGTTCCAGTTCTGCCATTCACTACCTGTGGCCTTTTAAAAGCCCTGCGGTTTCCTTATTTATAAAGTGAGTAGGCTGTGCTGGACTGTAGAATGTGTCTAAGGTTCTTTCTGGCACTGAAATTCTATGGACCTTACTGTGAAGTTTTCATAAGAGCCAGCAAGTTTTCCTCCTTGGATTCTCCACATCAAATGACCTAAGGGAAAAATATCCCTTCTGATTTTTCCACTTCACCAATGTTTTGAGAACCAGCCTTCTTTCTAACTAAGTTCTGTATAGTTCAACTTGCATATCAAAGGAAAAATCATTATGCAGAACTTTTATGGGTAAATATGATGGCCCAGCAGTGGAAAGTTGAGAGTCTGTCCAGGGTGGGCAGGCAGAGCGCCGGACACTTGAGACAAATGACTCTCCATAAATGTAGACAGAGATAATTTGTAAAAAAGATTATTTGACTCAGCAAATGTTAGCCAGAAAGAAGAGATACACTAAACTTGAACAAGTCACTTTAATTTCCCAGGGCAGTATCTGCTATGGCATCCTATGTTCTACACATGTTGCAACAGATGAAAATTTTAGATTTTTACCTTTTATGCTTCCATTAAGCCAACAGAGTCTTTGCAGATTTTCAGTGTGTTTTGGGGTTGTAAGCAAAATATGTTTTATTGGCAAAAAGATTTCTGCTTTTTAGTCAGCATTTGATGAGGAATTCTGTTTTGTTTTGTTTTGTTTTGTTTTCCAGAGGGGGAAGGGGAATTAGAAAAGGAAGCTGAATAATTTAAAGGTTGAAATTTTAGGTAGTTCTTTTTTAAAAACAAAACAAAACAAAACAAAAATATCGTCTCCAAACAACACAATTAAAAGTTCCTAAACTTCCATTTAAACTGAAAGAACTTTGCAAAAGAATTCTGATGCATTTATTTCAGTGTCATCTCTTGAAAGGACAACATTCAGCGGTACACAGTTTCTGATAGCTACCGCTCTCTACGGCGTGCATAGCAACAGTGCCCTCTGCCCTCCTAGAGTCACAGGATGAAATGGGTCAGCACTCCAGGAGTTTGGAGGACCCAGTGATATACCAAGGCCCAAAGAGCTGAGTGCTTACTGTGCTCCCACCACTGGTCTTAGCCCTAGGATTCAATTAACAACAAAACATGGAATATTCCTGCCTTCATGGAATTACCTTCTAATGAGCTAGGTAGACAATAGTCTTATGTCAAGTTATGTAAGTACTGAGGGTTATATAGTGTGGAATAGGTTTCACCTCTTTCCTGGAAGTTCTCAGAATTACTTTAAATCAGGAGAAAAGTCACCAAAGAGAATTCTGACAGAAACAATCCACCCACCAAAGTGTCTCCAAAATTAGGAATCTCTCCGAATTTAGCATACCAAGTGTGTGTGCACATATATGTGCATGTACACATATATAAGGCTAGCAAAGACTAAAAAGATTGTGCCTTGTTGCCAAATAGAACTACACACAAACAACTGGTAACATCTGGGAAAGAAGTAGTAATTTTCCATTACCTTTCATTGAAAGAGAAGTGGCTTCTCCCAGTTTAGTGTCAGAATGAGAGTGCTAGCCTCAGACAGATTCAGGTAAGTCACCGGAGGACTTCAGTTATGTTAACAACCAGTATGCAGCAATAGAAGTTATTTGGTCCTACTGTGCTTTTGCCTTTGGGTGAAAAGTTACACTTAGGGATCATTGGGAAGAGCCTGTGCTGTGGCGTCAGGGGGTAAGGGGAGTAGACCTGAGTCAGAAGTCCTGCTTTGCCTCCTAACCTCTGAACCTAGATTTTTTCCTTTATAATCTGGTGATAATAACTTCACTTTTGTCTTGCATGGTTGTGTTGTACATTGTGTAATGCACCTGGCACATAACTTTGGTGCTTATTAAATAGTAACCAGTGTGACATAGTAGTAAGAAATGATCATCTTCATTTTTAAAGAGGATGGGAAGAAAATGGCATTAATCCCTGTAATGAAATTTTGTATATGGTGCAGATCAACAGCTTAGGAGTAGGAGATTTGGTTGGAAGCTGAGCAGGTTCCTATTCTTCTTAGTTTAAATATGATTTTCCCAGTTATATAACGTAGTTTGTAAGTGTATTAGGAAAGAGTTTAATAACCATATTGTGCCTCAGTTTCTATACCTGCAAATATATGGATGATTTGAAAGATGAATAAAAGTATATGGAAAACTTCAAAGTCTTGATGAGAGAATATTGATAAATGTAAAGGATTAGAGTGATTATTGTGATTACAAGATAAGAATTCTTTCCACCCAGGGGACTGGAGGAAGACACAGAAAAACTATCGTATTGCACTGCTGATTTCAAAGGAGTTGCTTTGAGACTACTAAATGCTGAGAAATTGAACACTGGCAGTAAAGGCTCACTAATTATTTCATTGTTTTCAGTTTTTAAGTTACATGAGAGTGGGTGAAAAAAAATTTATTCTAGGTGCTTTTGCAATCTAGTGGGCTTATTATAACCAAAAGGCTATAGGATCAGTCTGTTGTCTTCTGCTCTCCTTCCCAGCTATAAAAATGATTCTTCACACTTTCCTCAGCACTCAGTTTCTTCAGGGCAATAAGAGATAGAAGAGAAACACCTGGTTCCTCTGTCAAGTATATTTCAGTTCTATTCCCCACCCACATTGTTAGCTCAGCTTTGAGGGCCGTAGTGCTTCTAGTGGCCCCTCTTTGTTTTACTGCCGAGTGCCCCCAAACGAGAATAAGCTTACCTGACAAAATTACATCTCATAAATTAAAAATAAGGTTTCTTCCTTCCTGCTTCCCCACTCTTCACTTTATATCACATACATCCCCACATTCGTACACATACAGACCACCAGAGGAAGGATGAGAAATGGGAGAAGAGAGTGGTTCATCTCTCAAGTCTGATACTTCTCTGTGGAGGCTGTTAGTGTTTGACCTCCACACTTTAAAGATATATTCAGGTAACCTACACTATTATTTTAGGGCAAGAATCACCACCTTTTCACTCTCTCTTTGTGAATTTTCTCTTCTCTGTGCTGCCAGTCAGGGTCACATTTGGGCTGCATTCAAACCAAAAGAATTTAGAGTTTTTGTTACATCACTGTTTAGTTGGCCCTGTTAATTTAACTTTTGTATTAAGGTTGAGAGATATTTTGTGATTGATCACAAATATTAGACATTCCGTCTATAGTTGTTATCATCACCTTATTTAAGATGTAATGGTCTAATCACAGTACTTCCAGTTCTGATTATTACCAGGGAAAAAATGTCCTGAGATTTTGGTAATTCCCCAGACTGGTTTGTGGGCACATCAAGAAAGATCTCAAAGAAGAAAAGGCAAATCCTATAAGCTAGTGCTATGTAAACCCAACACCATAATTCTAATTTTATTTGAATGTTCAGTGGTCATAAATAGCTACCTATTTTCTTTAAGGTATAATTCACAGCGGACATTTTAATAAGCAAAACTATCCCTGCTGGAAATTTGCAAACATAAATCAAAATGCAATCTTAAAGCCCTTAACATAATGTAACAGAAGAGCAGAAAAGCACTAAAACAAAAGTTATGACATTTAGTTCTACAAAAGCGATAGACACAAGATGGATAATATATAAACTTCATTCATTCGTGTCCCACTTTTGTGATCTATTGTTGTCTGAAAAATTAATTTCATGTATCTTGTTCCTCTCCTCCGAAATAACAATTTAAAAACAATTTGGATTGGCACCTTTTCTATTTCAGTATTAGGATTTCTGACTAGTCCAGAGCCAAAAAAATATGCAACTGTTATTTGTAATTACCTGTAAAAGCCCATGTAGAATTCACTGTCACTAAACCAGAAGTTTGCAGTTGAGAAACTGAACCCTAGAACCCCTGGGACCTAGATAGCTGTTAAATTAACTTTTATAGCAATTAAAATTTTAATAGCTATAAGCTGTTTACGTAGAAAATTTGCTGCCATGTTTGCCATGAAAATGTCGGGGACACATCAGAATTACCTTTTTCCAATCGTGCAAGGAACAATGTTTCCCCCTAGGAGTAGTAAGAGCACATTTTCCATTTTGACCTTCTTGCCAGACAGCCTGGAATCATATCTGAACCTGAATTACAGTAACTGTCTGAATAGATATAAACATAGTCATAATATATTTCCTAATCATGATTTTTGCTTATTTTCTCACAGTCACATAAATTGCAATCTATTTGTTCTACATAGTTTCTGATCTCTCAATTTTAGTCTAATATCCCTGGGTTTACACATACATACTTTTCTTGTGAGTCACCACAAATTATGTGGGAAGCAAATAGAGTTTAATTAAAATAAATAAAATTATATTGTTGTAATCATCAACGTGCAAGAAATATTAAAATGCTGATGACTCGGCTGTGATTAAATGAAGGAGGGCTGATATTATCAGTCCCCCCCCCATCCTGTTTAAAAATGCTTTCTCGATTTAAAACAACAGCAGTAACAAACTAAGGAAGAAACACGTTGATCAATCATTCTTCCCCATCTCCAAGCTTATTTTCTTCCTAAAGAAAAATTCACAGAAATGTTGACTAGATTTTTGTAAAACCCCAAACCCTTTAAATAAAAAAGTCTTAATCAGGTTGTTGTAGACAAAATCCATTCTTTGAATTTATCAGTCAGTTGATATATATTGCCCTCTGCTCCTTATTTTTAAGAGATCAAAATAAACTTCACTTCTGACATCCCAAAATAGTTACTGACATTGTAAGTAAAGTGACATTGTAACTAAAGCTGACTTTGTACAGCTCACCTGGCAGAGCAGGGTTTAGAAACAGTTCTGATGTAACCTCATTGTACTAATTACTGTACACCCCTTCTGTGAGTAGGATAATTGCCATTCTAACAGTTGCCATGAAAGTAGAACAACTGCAGTGAAGCCATTAGATGATGATGTATGACTGCCTTAAATGTATGCATGTGTGCTGACATTTAAGAGGTTATCTGAAGTCAAGCAGTATCCATTTTTCCAATGAGCAAATAAGGATACATGTAATAGTCTACTAAGATGAGAACTTTAGTCCTGTTGCACAAAATTTCTTAACACATGATTATTAATATATAGTCTTCATAACATCTGAGCAGAGAGACATGGGAACTTTGGCTCCTATCCTCGTCCCTCAAATTATCATCTGGGAGCCATTTGTTTTCCATTTTCTCATTCAGCCTATAGTTATTTATGCATTTTTCTCATCTCCTCAACTAAACTAGAGTCTCCTAAAGTCAGGAACTATATTTTATAAAATCTCTAGGTTCTATACAGAGCCTTAGACATAGTATAGACAGACAGAGAGACCGACAACTCTACTTAAGAATGACCCGGGTTTTGTTTTAAAGTCATACAAAAATGTATCTTTGCTCAATTAGCTGGAATGTTGTATTTTTTGAAGATACTTTTAAAGGGCAATAATCAGAGACATATTATTCTGACACAGCTGCTTGAGATATCTTAGTTCCCAAAAAGGTTCTTTGTAAACCAGGAATTAACTATTCTTAATATACTTGAATCTGAAGTTTTAATGACCCACACTTCAGTATTCTGTCAACTGCTCCAGAATGGTTGTCATAGTTACCTAGTATCAGGAACATAAAGCTAAATAAATTTCAATACAATGTTACCCCATTGCAATTTCTGAAGTGATACATTTGAATAGGTTTTGCAACATCAGAGGCCTCCAAAAAAATCTATGCAAATAAAACAAAAGATTACAGACTTGAATATATGCTGATGTTTTTCAAGAAATAGAAATGCCTTCAAATGAGCTCTCACCTAGTGAACTAATTTTAATTTGTTGATCATGTTTCAAACAGAAAGTTAAGATTCATCTAGGAATAGTAATATTGTTTTAATTGTGTGAGTGAGTTGAATCAGATAATGCGGTATCATTTGTAATGAGTTCTTATGTTTTCTACAGGTGGATAAGTGGAGCAGCTGTAGTCAATGCATTTTACTCTTCAGGAAGAAATCAGATAGGTAAGGTGTATTCTTAAATGATTATTTAATATTTCTCTATTGTTCCCAACCTGTAGCGCATTGTATGACCAATTACAGTACCTCTAAACAAGCACAGCTGAGACTGAGTTATTGATCTTTTGAATACATTTCTTGAACATAAATGCATCCGTGTACCTTTTTTCACTATAATGGGAAAATTCAGATTAGTACAAATCATGTTAAGTAGTTTTATTTCTTTTACAATATTCCTATTTATATCTAAAATGGTTTATCTTATTTCTAAATATTTTTATTTTATTTCTAAGTACCTTTTAAAAGTCCCTTGAATATATCTATATAAAGTCATATTGACTTTAGGACTCATTAAGCATTGGCTTCTAAAAATGGTTTAAGGTTTCAAGAGCCAACTTTTCACAGATCTAGTCCTCCTGGCAATTCTGTATGCTGCCTCTGTGAGAGATGATCCTATTCTATGTCATCTCTATTTAGGAAGGCTCCAAGGGCTTTAGAGAGTTGGAATCTCAATTATATTAGATTCAATCATATGAAATTGTATTTACCTAGCCACAATTGATCAAAAAAGAACAAAATTTCATATATTCACTTATAGTATTGTTACAGACATATACTTAGATTAATACATGAATAAATTATCATATATGATGAATAACTGAATGACATAATATGACAAAAATATTTCCTCTTCCTGGGAAGGCCTGGACATCTTTGAACATACATTGGATCACGTATGTCACTTATCACATACATTGGCTCATTTTCTTTTCAAGGGGTTTTTAGCATTAGAAAGGTACTCAACCGATTCAGTACTGCCAGAAATATTCTAAACAAATAGTAGAGCAAGCTTCTGCAGGTGCATTCAGTCCTCCAGGTGCACTCAGTCCTGCCCTTCCTTTCTAAACGTAGTCTAGAATTAAGAGAGAAGATAACCTCAGCAATATTCTAAACCATTCTTCTTATATCTCAGAGTCTGTTGTAAGCCTCATTTTTATTGAATTCTATTACCAATTAGATTAGAAATTATAAAAACTCTTACAAGATATTTATCATTGGCTTAAAAAAAAAACCTTAAAATAAATTGTATATTTTTATGTTAAAGTTTGATTATACCTTTCCCCATTGCTTTCAACTCTAAAAAGAGTTAGGTTAAGAAGTTATCTACATTTTCTTCTAGTATTTTTATGATTTCTATTTTTGGAGTAAAACCTTAATCCATCTGGAATTTACCTTGGTACATGACCTGAAACTGAATTATATAAAGTAACCAGAAAAGATTATTTTGTATAACATATAAACAATAAGTAAGATATGTTTACTCAGATTAAAATTACTTAGCTCAAAGTCTAAGCTAATGTTTTCTGGCTAGGGAAATGATTGCCCCAACTCAGACCAGAACCTGCTTAATAATCAACTCATCAGAACCTATGAAGTCAGTCCTTTATAATATATTATTTGAAACCATTCAGATCTTGTTTTAAAATGCCTTTAGCTCTAGAGAGTCTTCACTTGAAGCCCTCTTTTTAATATTCAGTAGTTCTGTCAGTGTCTAGTTCATCGGGTCCTGAGACAAACAGAATAGTTAACTTTCAATGGAATCCCAAGTCAAAGCAAGGCAACTTAGACCCCTTAGTGCTACATTAGAGCAGACTAAGGGATGCAGCTTCATTTCAGTCCAGCCCAGGGAGGACCCTGGATCCTGTTGGACCTGGTGCTGATGCATCCTCAGTAGGACCACTCTGGCATGTTCAGTCCTTCAGCCCTTCTCTAGAGTAGGCTCAGGCATTTATGCCAAGACAGGACCTTGTTTGATTCTGAATTACCCCAAGTCCCTGGAGGTGGCTCAAAATTGGCCCACTTCAGAGATTCCCCTATCAGAGAAGAGCTGAAAATATTTTCATTTTGAGTATAATGTCCTGAAACCAAAGAAGCATACAGAAAAAGGAAAAGGAAGATAAAAGTGGCCCAATAGTGGTCTATTTCACGAAATAGACAATAATCCTCTGGCAAATCAAAAATTAGCTATAATAACAATTCTGAATTATATAAAAAAGATCTTTTCCAAGATCCTTAAAATAAGGATCCAATGGAAATATAAAATAAGAAAACTTGTTAACTTCTTTTCATATGCTTGTCTGCTTCTTGAACAGCAAAGAGGAGAAATCCTTGAAATGTACACCTTTTTTCTTTGACAATTTAAATCTTCAAAGTAGGGATTGTCTTACCTAAAAATAGTTGAAGTGTCAAATCTCCGTCTTTTTTCTTGATAGGAATGTGTATGTGGTCTGGGTGCGGTGGCTCACGTCTGTAATCCCAGCACATTGGGAGGGTAAGGTGGGTGGATCACCTGAGGTCAAGAGTTCGAGACCAGCCTGGCCAACATGGTGAAACCCCATCTCCACTAAAAATACAAAAATTAGCCTACTGTGGTGGTGGTTGCCTGTAATCCCAGCTACTCAGAAGACTGAGGCACGAGAATCGCTTGAACCCAAATGCAGAGGTTGCAATGAGCTGAGATCGCACCACTGCACTCCAGCCTGGGTGACAAAGCAAAACTGTGTCTCAAAAAAAAACAGAAAAGAAAAGAAAAACAAATGTGTATATGAATATAAATACACACATACATACCTATATACATGTCTTCTTCAACACTGTCTTAATGGATTTGGGATAATGTCCATTATAAAATTAGGATTGGTATAGAATAGCATGTTCCACCATAAGTGAGTCCCTCCCTACACACACACACACATAGACAGACAAATACTCCAGATTAGATTGCATACACTTTCTCATGGGATTGGTCATTTTATGTTGTTATGTTAAAAAAAAAAAGCACTTGTTTTGTTATATAGAGACTTACTCGTATCAATAATTTCTACTTCTTAATTCAGTTTTCACTATTTTGTTAGAACTCACACATGTAGACTACATTTCAAGTTGTATGCATTCCTACATCTTCATATCAACAAAAAAAGTCAATTTCCAAGAAAGAAGGCAAACTAAAAGTGCTTAATCCACTGTTCCTCTTCCTTGCATGTTTACTTCATGGAGCTCTAGAAGGCCTCCATACCATGACATTAGGAAAGCTGCACTTCAATATTTTGTCATATGGTTCTCTGTAAGTTCTAGGTGCTGTTCAGTCATCGTATTAAACCTTAAAATCTCAGTCAAGGAAATGATTGAATGTATTCTCCTTTTCCATTAAAATTGAAGAATCTTTTAAATCATTTTTTTAAATTTCTCAAATATATAAGTTCTTTAGTGTGTTCAGCCTGTGTCGAATATAAATACCTTGAGATAGTTAAATGTTCTAAATTGCCTTATTTATTCTTAGGAGTTTTATTTTCAGGCTTGAAAATTAAGACAGTTTCCAAACATATTATTACTCCATTTAATATAAAAAGAATGTTTCGGCTATGCATGGTGGCTCATGCCTGTAATCCCAGTACTTTGGAAAGCTGAGGTGAGCTGATTGCTTGAGCTAAGTAGTTGATACTGGCCTGGGCAACACAGTAAAACCCTGTCTCTACCAAAAACTACAAAAAAAATTAACTGAGCATGGTGGTGCACGCCTGTGGTCTCAGCTACTTGAGAGGCTGAGGTGGGAAGATTTCTTGAGCCTGAAAGGTGGAGGTTGCAGTGAGCCAAGGTCACACCACTGCAGTTCAGCCTGGGTGACAGAGTAAGACCCTGTCTCAAAAAAAAAAAAAAAAAAAAAAAAAAAAAGTTTAATTAATTTGCACCAAAAACAACTACTCAATTGCTGCCTTAGGTTCTAAAATTGAATTGCTAGCAGCCTTCAAAAAATAAAGTTGTGTTGGGGAGCCAAAAAAAAAAAAAAAAGGGCAGGGGAAAGAGGAGACACAGTCTTTGCTTCATGGCCCAATGACTTATTTAATTAACTAACTTGTTGACAATCGTGAACATAAAAAATGCACAACTAAGCAGTTGGTTATAAACAACAGTTGTGACACCTACTAGGTAACAGCAGTAAGGCTAATGGGGAAAATCCTCCTTACAGAGATTTCGCTGACAAAGTAAAAAAGGAGATCATAATTAGCAAAGTTGAACTTGAAGACTAATATTTAATAAGAACCATAAAAGTCTTATCACTTGCCTGAAGGATGGCATATCGGGGCATGATTAAAGCAGCAGGATCTTTATAGTTAATATTTAGTCTTGATAGCACGTTTCATAACAGCATTTTATATAATGGGTGGATTTTAATCAAAGTACATAGTGTGGGAGATAGCATTCACTTTAAGTTAATAAAGTACTGCACATAATTTTTATGCTTTAAGCTAAAAATAATTTCATGGGTCCGTTTAGCTCAGGCTGCTACACGTGAGGTATAACTTTCATCAAAATTCTCTAAGGACAAAAGTACTTTTTTGTTGTTGTGTCATTTGAATGTTATGGCAACTTTCCAAATTTTTGTAGAGGTCTGGAGAGCAATTAAATTGCTCAGATACTTTGAAGTCTTCTCTGTAAATATCTAATATTTATCCCTGAAGCCCATGTGAGGTTATATTGTGTTCAGTACACCTGAAAGATAAAGAAATAACATGTGCTACTCTGTGTTAACTAGATCTTAAAAATCTTAAGGTCAGGGCCCTTCTTTTATATTCTTAATGTCCTGCATAGCAATGACCCAGGGCTTTGCATTTAATAGGTGTTGATACTGAAGGTTTTTTTTTTTTGTTACAGAAAATAATGTTTCAGTTATTCAGTGTATACTAGAGTTTTAAGCCATTAAAGATGGAATTACTAAACTATGAACATTTAATTAATTTAATTCTAATTTCTTTCTAAGGTCAAAGATTAATGACCTCTAAATAACATGACCCAAAATTTTATTAAACAGGGGAAGTGTATTCCAAGGGAAGATAATCTCCATCTTTCATTAGTATTTAAGACATATTATTAGTATATTTCAGGAATAGTGAAATATATTTCATCAGAGTTTATATTATAAGAGGATACGGGATATGATGGAAGTGGAGAGGGGAGAGGACCCTGGAGCCATAGGCCAGAAAGATGTGTTTAGCTGGTGAGCAATGGTAAGCCTTCCAAAGACTTTTAGCAGGAGAGTGATGATGCCCAGATTTGTCTTTAATCTGGTTGCAGGATAGTTTCAGAGAGTAGATTAGATTTAGAATAGATTACAGTTGGGTGAGACAGAAAGTGGGAGACTGATCAGAAAATTCAGTCATTCCTGAGACCAGGAATGAGAGTATGTGTGGACAGTAATACTGACAGGAGGAGATAAAGATGCTCCTGAAAGCCACCTCACCCAGCCTCTGCCTAAGCGGACTTGTAAAAGACTGTAAAAGAAAGGAGGCATCTAAGATAAATAGAAACATTTACTTTTGCTGATAGAGACCCTTCAAGTGCCATTAGCAGAAAAAATACAGAGTGAGGGCCTAGAGGGGAAAATGAATTTGATGTTTGGCACATTAAATATAACACGTTTGTGAGACATCCGAATGGAGGAAGTTAGCAAGTTAATGCAGATGTCAGAGTAGACATATTGAAAACTACTATTCATTTATTAATTTACTAAACTCTTTAGGACACATTAGTAAGTTAGGGTGATCATTCATTTATTTATCATTGATTATTCATTGATTCAACACATTTCCTGAGCACTGTTAATGTTCCAGGTATTATTCTAGTTTTAAGTATTGTTCAATTTTAGGCATTTAGATAATGAACTAGAAAAATGTATGAAATTAAAACATAAACAAATGTATGTACAGACACACAAATCTCTGCTCTCCAAGGGCTACTACTTGAGGACCTGGAGTAGGATTGGGGCAGACAGGAAAAGGAAGGACTGTGATCATAAAGAAATAAATAGAATATGAGGTAGTCGTAAGTGCCTTGATGAAAATAAGGTAAGGTTATGTGATAGAGGTATACCTCTATCTAATTGAGGGGCAATGTTTATTTAAGATATTATTGTAGATGGATACAATTTCTTCGATAACATTAAAAATAATACTGGTGTTATTGAGTAACTATTTCTTCCAAGTATTTATAAGGGGGAAAGAACCTTCTGAAAGAAGGTTACTAGTTCCCTTTGCTCCAAACTCCTTAGAGCACAAAACAATCTTAAAAGAGATTGTAAAGTGAATCATGATGATAAATCACAGATTATAGCCCCACTCCAGGGTGAACTCTGTTGTCATCCATAATAAAATGCCTGCATTGGCTTCTATTACAGAAGATTTTTGTATATAACTAAGTGAAACTGACATTGTGAACAGCAGCTTAGCCAGCACAAAGCCAACCCCAAGCCTGCCATCACTTAATAATGGCATGGTGGCATGCACCTGTAGTCCCAGCTACCCAGGAGGCTGAGGAGGGGGGGACTGTCTCTAAGAAAATAAAACTTTTTAAAAAATTATGCCACAAATAATCTCTAACTATCTTCTCTCCTTGTAGTCTTCCCAGCTGGCATTCTGCAGCCCCCCTTCTTTAGTGCCCAGCAGTCCAACTCATTGAACTATGGGGGCATCGGCATGGTCATAGGACACGAAATCACCCATGGCTTTGATGACAATGGTAAAGTGCAGTTGACATTTTCCTTTGGCTGAGGTATATGCTCATAAATTTGATTAAGAGTTATTATAATTTATTACTAAAAAGCTACATTTATTGAAACGTATCATTTCTCTAATTTTCACCACACTTTCAATTTTCCCTTTAAATTGTTGCTTAAAGAGATCAAAAAAATTCTCATAGTGAGGTGAGCAATGTGTACTTTACACTCTGGCAGAATGAAGTAAATATTCCTATTGGGAAAATACTATGGTGTTTGTCAGCAGCAGTGATAATGCTTGGTCTTAGTTTCCTGATTGTATATGATGTGTCTTGTCATACTCTTAAAAGACAGGCTGCATGTATATGTCTTAAAATCAGATGTAAAATCAGAAAATATTGTCTCTGCAAGTGCTCATAAGACTCTTAAGCTGCTTTGAGTCAGAGACTTTTTTTATTTTTTTCATCTTGTACCTACTACCTAGTTCAAGTCTTTGCAAACAGGCACTTGAATGCCACCCTAAATGGCAAAATCAATTTAGAGTTTCAATCAAAGCTGAATTCCTGAGAGGAATAAAGACATGAAATAGTAAAGAGGTGATAGTTAAATCTATGACAAATTTCGTTCACAAATGGAAAGAAAGTAGAAAGAGAACAATAAAGAGAAAATAATCCCCATTTTAGAGAGCCAGAGAAAGAAAGAGAGACAGGAATGTTAGAATTCTTAAAAAGACTTACTAAGTGTCTATTAACTCAAACTATGCAACAGTCTTTACAGGTAGGTTCTAATACTGTTTCTGTTTTCCAAGTGGAAAAAAATAAAAGCACATGAAAGATGTGCCCAAAGATACAAAGATAGGAACTGGTGGAACCAGGAGGTGTGTTCAAGTAGGTTGGCTACATAGCCCTTTTCTTAATCACTGCATCATAGACAAATATGAAAAATATGGTAATATTAAGTGTCAAAACACGTGATACATATAAATGCAATTGGAGCTCAAAAGGGAGAAAGATCGATGTGGTTTATGGTTGGCAGGGAAGCTACAGGAGAAAAAGACTTTTGTGTGTGCTTGAGGTAGAGGCAAACTATGAGCCCACAGTGTCCTATGAAGGGTCCAGGAATATAAAAATGCCAGAATAAAAATGTTGACCATTTAAAAAAATCTCAAAATATCAAACTAAACAGACTTGGGTCAGGTAAAAACCATTCAACAGAACAAGGCATAACTTCAAGAATATTTTGTCTGGCGGCCTCTTCTGAGATATCAAGAGCCAAATGGGTGAAATGTCTGGGTCATTGCTGAGACACATCAGCAAAGAAAGCTCTGGCAGTCCAGGCTTTGCCAACTCTGTGATGAGGAGGGATGACAGTTTCTCTCATTGTCTGCCTAATTTAATGTTCTGTCACACAGCAGTATTTCAGTCCTTGCACTTTGAATTAAAGATATCTTATAATTCTTGTTGCAATGAGTTCCCATTTTACTTAAATAAATATGTTATAGGCAGAAACTTTAACAAAGATGGAGACCTCGTTGACTGGTGGACTCAACAGTCTGCAAGTAACTTTAAGGAGCAATCCCAGTGCATGGTGTATCAGTATGGAAACTTTTCCTGGGACCTGGCAGGTGGACAGCACGTATGTCATTAGCATTTTCTTGAAAAGTTTTAGACACGTTCAATCTTAAGTGTATTACTGGTGTTTTTTAAAAAAAAAATCCTAATAAAGTGTCTTTTCTAACAGCTCAATGGAATTAATACACTGGGAGAAAACATTGCTGATAATGGAGGTATTGGTCAAGCATACAGAGTAAGTAAAAAGATTTTCTTTCCATTTTAGTGATTTAGACTGTTTCTCATATTTAATAATTCATTTACAACCTTTTGCAAAAAAAGAAACTCATATAATATAAGCAATAAAAGATGAATAGAAAATGGAAAAAAATATGAGGAGAAAGAGTTGTGAATATGCTAACCGTAAGGGTCAATACATTGATGTGACAGAGCTGAACACTTAAGTTTGCAAAGAGCCAAGAAGAAAAGAAAACATGGAATATTATATCAACTGAAATGAGCAGATAGCAGGTTCACAAAGGAGGCAACATTTTTCTAAGAAATAATATCTGAAATAATTTTTTTTAGAAGAGATGTCCCATAAGAAGGGTTATTTCAGGGTCATTGACCAATATAAGAAACAGGACCTTCAGTTTTGTTGCAGGTGAAGTAGCATTTGGGAACAAAAACCAATGTAAACCACAGGCATATTAAACCATAGTTCACATATAATACAGTAAGGGACTGATGTGATATGGTTCCAGCACATGGCCTTGTAGTCAATCACACTATTATACACAGAAGACTATTATCAGTGGAGCATCGCTTAGAATCCCATTTAGCCTTCTATTCATTCTTGCGTTCAATACATATTCATTGAGGCTTAATAGGTTTGGCACTATTCTAAGAGCTGGAGATAATGCAGTGAATGCTTTATAAAAGGTCATTATTTGAGGATCTGAGCAAGGGTTAAAAAAGAATCTAGTAGATGCCATGTGCATAAGAAAAAGCGGGGAATTTCATAAAAGGGTGGAGGAATGATGGTCTAGGAAGCAACAAAGAGGAATGAGGATGATTTTGAGTGTTTTTCTCAACTATGAAGTAGCCCATATGTAGGAGAACGAGCAGTGTCTACTTGAGATGTCACAAGGAACAAGTTGTTCCTAGGCTAGAACTAGGCTTCTCTAAGACAAGGATGGATGGAATGATCCGTGGAGAAAATGAGGATGTAGGATCATTTGTTCATTATAGAAATGTTTGGATTAGAGTGGAGGAGGAGAAAATCGATGGTTGGGTTAGGTAAGGGGAACACCAGAGAAGTGGAGGAAGAGGTGACTGATGGGGCGTGCAATTTGGCAGTGACCAGAGATGATCAGAGTGTGAAGCTTGGAAGATTAAGTCAGCTACAGGTTTCCAAAAGAATAAGTCCAGCCAGTTCCAGGGACATGGTAGATTGCTGCTGCTTTGAATGCTTAGCAATTTTTTTACTCAATGCCAGACACTTTGCATTTTGTCTTTTTTTTTTTTTTTTTTTTTTTGGAGATGGAGTCTCTTTCTGTTGCCCAGGTTGGAGTGCAGTGGCATGAACTTGGCTCACTGTAACCTCTGCCTCCTGTGTTCAAGCGATTCTCCTGCCTCAGCCTCCCAAGTAATTGGGATTACAGGCGTGTGCCACCATGCCTGGCTAATTATTGTATTTGTAGTAGAGATGGGATTTTGCCATGTTGGCCAGCCTGGTCTCAAACTCCTGAACATCAAGCGATCCACCTGCCTTGGCCTCCTAAAGTGTTGGGAATACAGGCGTGAGCCACTGTGCCTGACAACATTTTACTTCTTTGGGTGCTGGATGTTCTTTTGTTCCTATACATATTCTGTTGCCCAGGCTGGGTGCAGTGGTGGGATCTCAGCTCACTGCAAGCTCTGCCTCCCGGGTTTATGCCATTCTCCTGCCTCAGTCTCCCAAGTAGCTGGGACTACAGGCACCCGCCACCTCACCCGGCTAGTTTTTTGTATTTTTAGTAGAGACGGGGTTTCACTGTGTTAGCCAGGATGGTCTCGATCTCCTGACCTCATGATGTGCCCTTCTCGGCCTCCCAAAGTGCTGGGATTACAGGCATGAGCCACGGCCCCCGGCCTGTTCCTATACATATTCTTGAGCTTTATTCTAGGATACAGTTAAATTCCTGGAAAATGGTTTGATCCTTTTGGGTCTTGCTTTTGTAATATTCGTTGAGATGGGGGCAGTGTTCAGTCTAGGCACATTATTCTCAACTGCTGAGATAATAATCTACTCTGTGAATCTTGGGGGTTTCCATTCTTGTCCTATGTAAGTACCATAAATTGTTATCTCTAGTCCTTTTGGGATATTGTTTTCCTAGCATTGAGTATTTTGCTCACACACATCTTCAGATTAAGACTAAGCTGAATGCTTGAGGATAGCCATCTGTAATCTCTGAGGTTCTCTTTTTGTGTAGCTTTCTCCTCTTTAGTAACCTGTTCTTGGTGTCCCTGAACTCTCAGCTCCTTCTCCTCAATTCAAGGAGTCTCCCCAGCTCTGACTGGTTTTCTCCTATCATGTGGCCTGAAAACTCTCAGGACAATAAGCTCAGCAGCGATAGGACTCACTGAGAGTAATGTTTAACATCTCTCAGGGGTCATTCTCCTTTTGCCTGATGTTCAGTGTTACACAAACCATTATTTTAAATATTTTGTTTGTCATTTAGTTGTTTCAGCAACAAGTTAAATCCAGTCCCTATCACTCCATCTTGACTGGAAGTGGAAGGCATTGGCACTCAATATTCCCATGGTGATTCTAATACACAGCCAGATTGAGAATCACTGCTATAAAATCCAGCCAAAGTTGGGATTGATAGTACTTCCATGGAGATCCTTACCTAGAGCAAGTACAGAATTGTAACGATGATGCAAATGACAATTGTGCAAATATTTTATTACATTGAAAATATGTAAATTCTTAACATGTAATACCTTGCCCCCTGCTAGATTGCAAGCTCTCTAAGAGGGAGCAGGTGCAAGCCTTTCCCATATCCCCAGCATTGTTAGTTACATAGTAGAGGTTCAGTAAGTCTATGTTGATGGTAAGTGGCAGAAATGAAATATATCTTCTGCTCATCTAGTTGGTCACCTTCCTTTGTATTAAATTGGAAATGACACATCTCAGAACGATTATTATGAATTCCTTTTAAAAGTTTATTTAGTAGAGGAAAACTCATTTTTTTCAGTAGTGCACATAAATCTTTAAGAATTAAGAGCACTTTTTGATATTCAAATTACCTAAATATTTTCCTTGAAATGTACCTGAGGCTTTGTCCATTTTGTCCTGTCTTCAAAAGACGAGAATAGTTGCATATTATTGTCCTCAGACTCATAGGAGACTAGGCCTCTAAGGGATCTCAAGAGAACCCTTTGACTTGGCAAGAGTCACTCGAACTTAGTCTGGTGAGTCTGTTTTGCTGAGAGAGTAGTAACTAAGTTAAATGCAGCAATTATAGACTTCCTTGGCAATTCATTTGTCCTGACTGGTCTTATTCATCAATTTATAAAACAACATTTAGATAAGTTTTTCATCACTTATTTAGGTCATCCATTCATTCAATTGGCATTTATTGATCACCTAACATGTACCAGGCTCTTGTCATCTACTAATCAGTATCTTGTTCTTTTCAGAGCATTTGTAAATAAATTTGATTTGCCTTTCTAATCCATAAAATAGCTGTAGCTTACCATAACTAAATGTATTATTAGGGTGATTTTAATATAAAATATTAATTACTTGGTGACAAGATCTTTTACATAGGTTTATATATATAACCTTAGGAATTATAATTATTGTTTTTCTATTTTATCAACTGCCTAGGCCTATCAGAATTATGTTAAAAAGAATGGTGAAGAAAAATTACTTCCTGGACTTGACCTAAATCACAAACAACTATTCTTCTTGAACTTTGCACAGGTATTGTGTCTTTCTTGATTGATAGATATGAAAACCATTTTGAGTTATAATTTCACAGTAAGTTAGATGTCACATGCTGAATTCCCTTGTTTTAATCAATTGTGGCAGAGCATTTGACTTGATTCACTTTCATTGTTTATAATAGACTGTTGGATCATATTAATGATAAATAAATATGTTCCTGGTTGACTTTCATTGAACATTATTTGAAGAGAGAATGGTTGAGGAATGCAGAATTCCAATTTAAGTTTTCTCCCTCCCCTCAACTTGCTCAAACAAATAATCCTTGATTGAATCTGAGTACATGCTTTGCTTTTCCTATTCCTATCTCTAGGTGTGGTGTGGAACCTATAGGCCAGAGTATGCAGTCAACTCCATTAAAACAGATGTGCACAGTCCAGGCAATTTCAGGTGCGTGGGTATGAACAGCAATCAAGGTGCTCTTATATTGGGTCCATTGCTTCCACATTTGGAATTTAGACTTTTCTAACTCTGATTCTTTTACACTGGGAAATTCAGTGCTTTTTGTTTGTTTGTTTGTTTGTTTGTTTGTTTGTCACAGATAGGATCGAGAGAACACATTAGAGCATTCTACATAAGCATCGCCTTGGCCGCTCTCTTTCTTCGAATCTACGATAATTATAATTCCTTAGAATGTATGAGGCCCAGGGCTTGATCTATTCCAACAAAGATGTCGTCTCAGAACAATGGCTCAATTTAAAGCTAGCACAAAGACATTTCTAAGAGGCTGTGAATGGTTTAGGCCCAGGCCAAATGAGCTCCAAATTGCGAAGAAAAATTTCAACATAAAGGAAAACTTCCTACTAATTAATTAGAGGTTTTTCAATATGGAATAACATTATTCCCAAAGCTTCAGGAGAGAGTACATTGAAGCAGAGGTCAGAACAGGATGTGAGAGAAAAATGCTCTACAGGGTAGAAAATTATTTGTATATTTAAGTTTTTATTGTTGTTCTGGTTCCAAAGATCCCTCATCGACTATTTTTCATTCGTAACAACAGAAGTGTGTGTGTGTGTGTGTGTGTGTGTGTGTGTGTGTGTGTTTTAAGGGTAAATGGAATGCCAACATTTTGTCAAGGAAATTATTATTTTCTCCGGAGGTAAGGAGATTTTCTTGGCAAGATCTAGAAGAAGTTAAAGTTCTTCCCAAATTAGAAAATCTAAGAGAACAATGATTGAAGAGAGTCCTTCTAACCAACATTTGAATGTTAAATCGCAGATCCTATGTATTTGTTTAAGAACTGAATTCCTAACGCTACCCATTTCCCATATACTAGAACACTTAGTCACTCATTTGCTGATCAACAACACCTCTCAGGCAAGAAAGTTTAAAAAAAAAAAAAATAAAATTAGTCACTCATTTGCTGATCAACAACACCTCTCAGGCAAGAAAGTTTAAAAAAAAAAAAAAAACCTAAAAAATTTGTAGGCTAGTTGGAAAATGGAATTTGAGAACAAAAGAGAACTAATGGGCTAAATTTCAAAAGCTCTACATAAAATGAATGTAAGCATACTGCCCAGATCATTTACTCTTGGGAAAAAAAACACATTCAATTATGGAGAAAAACATATTCAGTTATGAAACAATAAAGTAGCTCATTTAAAAATTAAAGAATTTACTCAGCTTGTTAGTATCATCATTGTCATCATCAACATTATCATCATCATCTAGTATTTGCCTTAACATTTCTTTCAATATTCATTCACTCAATAATTGCTTATAGTATGCCTATTATCTCTGTAATCCAAACTAACTTTAGTTCTGCTAAGATATTCAAATTAACTGCTTTATAGGTAATGAGCAACAAAAGTGACTGGATTAATTCCCACAGTGGTTTATTCAAGAAACTTTTAATTTTTTTAAAGTTGTCTTTTTCTTTACTAAAGTGAACTTAAGCTTTGAAGTAAGAAACACTTGAGTTCCAACCATGGCTTCACTATTTACTAGCGTTAGTGTAACCTCTGTGCCTCAGTTTCTTGATATGTAAAATGAGGATTAAATTATCATGAGAGTTGCTAGAGGATTAACGTTAATATAAATGAAGAGCCTATGTTGTGTGTGTGTGTTTGAAAGTTCATACTAGGATTATTTGTAGACAAGAGTTATGAACAGAATAAGAATTCTTATGTATTTTGCAATAGTTCCCTATCAGTCAAGGCCGTTTTGGTGCTCATTTCTTATGTTCTGCACATTTCAGAATGTTAGTAACTGATCAGTGGTTAAGTAAAACATAGATAAGAATATAACTGTTTTGTAGCTCCAATTTTAAACTGAAAACAATATTTTGCTATAAATAAATTAAATTATTTGTATATTTAAGTTTTTATTGTTGTTCTGGTTCCAAAGATCCCTCATCGACTATTTTTCATTCATAACAATTGTGTGTGTGTGTGTGTGTGTGTGTGTGTGTGTGTGTTTTAAGGGTAAATGGAATGCCAACCTTTTGTCAAGGAAATTATTATTTTCTCTGGAGGTAAGGAGATTTTCTTGGCAAAAGATTGAGCTTACATTTAGTTTTGGAAACAAACCATTTCCTGGCTGTACAAAGTAAAACATATTTTTTAAAGAACTCTAAAAACTAATAGATACCGAGTTGCTATTTAAGAATTGTACTTAGTGGTTATATAGAAATATTTCTGAATTAGATATTTGTAACCTTATATTTAAACAGCCATAGTATTAAAACAAAAAGCAAAATACGCTTGATACAAAGCTGTGTCTATAAAACCGTATTTGCTATGTCTAACCTATTGTTGTTTTAGTCTTCCTGACTAAAGCTTTATTTATGTTCTTTAAAATAAACTTTAGAAGTTAAGATATAAGAATCTAATTCTAAGGATAGCAGCTAGCATTTATAAGCTCATACAAACCACCATACAACCTAATTTGTCAAGGGTTTGCCCTACATATCTCCATAAACTAAAACAGATGTCCATAAAAATCTAGGTGAATTTCAGTAATATTATTGTAATACCTGGTATATCTACCATCCTCAGAGAATGAGAGGTTGCAAATTAAGTTTTGATAGGTAAAATTTGTCTCTTTTAAGTATTAACATTTTTATCTTAACAACTGGATTAAAATTTCTTTATTAAAAATATATTTCTGCCTTCCTACCTTAAAACAATATCCTGAAAAAAAAAAACCTAACCTTTTAAAAAGTTTTGATGGCACAGACTACTTTATGATTATTAGTTATGCTTTTACTGTTTATTAATTTATTCTGTGGAGCTATTTATTCTTATATCAATTGTGATGCTTTTTGATTTATTTTGGCTTTTTATTAAGGTTTTTCTGTGTGTTTGTTTCTTTCCTAGTTTTCTTTCCTATTATTGTATTGCCTGCCTTTAGTTCCCTAATTCCCCCATTTTGATTAGCTCAGAAAACATGTGGTTAAAATTAAATGGTATGTAAGCCAAAAACATTTTTCTTTTAGTAGTCTACAAATTGAATCTGTAATTTAAATACTGACTTCATTTTGGAAATGCAGTTTATGGTTAGCCATCTATCGTCATTTCAGGGAATGGTTATTATAATATTTATATGTAATCTATAAATATGTTTCTAAAATTATTTAGATGTAATTTTCTATGCGATATGTAAGGGTCTGATAATTTTGTAAAGCAAGTCCAAATAGACAAACTGATTTAAGTGCTTAGATTGCTCAACCTTATCTTCCAGTCAAGAAGAAAGGGCACTTTTTAGAACTGACACCACTAGCAAAGTAAGAAATGTTTTTCAAAGCTTAATTTCTAATATTTTTGAAGGAATATTTTGTCTAGTGTTTTATATAGACATGTCAACTAATAAGGCTATTTTGTTCCTTCATACTCTGTAATTTAGCAGGCTAATAAGCCCTCTTTGAAATTCTTCTGTTTCTTCAATTTCCCTTCAATATTAGCATTGGTTCCTGATATTTTATAGATATCAGTATAGATTTTAGTGAGTTTTGTAGAATTTATATTAGCCCCTCCAATCTTTAGCTGATAACTAGAAATCTATTCCAGCATTAATTTCTTTATGAATGTATAGCAGAACATACACTCATCAATATGACTTTGCTTTGAAAGAACCATAAAAATTAGTTAATGGTGAAGATTGGATAGCTTATTCCTGAATGAAACCAGTTAACTTTGTAGCTAAGTCATTCATTTACAAGAATTAACAAAAGGTTGTCCGAGGACCCATTAATTGCACACAGTAATTCAGAAGTCCAGTTGTAGTACGCAAGAATAGTCAGATAGTATATAAAGTCCATTCTTGGTCACAATGCCAAATCTCTTAGATGTTTTTAATACAAGTAACTGTTTGCCAAGGCCAAGAACATCAGCAGTACAATGAGTTATTTTACATAATAAAGTAAAAATTTCAAGTAAATCACCTTAAGAAATCATCAATAAAAGCTTTATTATCTTCTGTTAGTAGAAACACAAGTACACAGTTTTATACAGCATGAAATTCATGTACATATCTTCTAATAACAGAAGATAATTCATGTAATACGATCTCACTCTTAGAAAAAATGTATTTTATTAATAATGTATTCACTTTTCAAAATAGATTATCTAGGCCTGGTACAGTCGCTCATGCCTGTTAATTCCAGCACTTTGGGAGGTTAAGGAGGGAGGATCACTTGAGCTTAGGAGTTCAAGACCAACCTGGGTGACATAGTGGGACCTCATCTCTATTAAAAACAAAAAAATTGCCCAGGCCTGGTGGTACATGCCTGTAGTCCCAGCTACTTGGGAGGCTGAGGCAGGAGGATCACTGGAACTCAGGAGGTCAAGGCTGCAGTGAGTCATGATCGCACCACTGCACGCCAGCCTGAGTGACAGAGGGAGACCCTATCTCAGAAAAAAATAGATGATCTATTCAAAGATTTGATGTCATCAACACCAAACATTAACTAAGAAAGTAAGTGAAGCCCTCGTGTGTTGTTGACCTGTTCAGGATCAAAGTAGAGTCTTTGGATGGAGAGAGGATGGGCAGAGCGGGCATGGAGAGCTGAGTGCACAGCAGGCTGAGTGTTTCTGCAGTGCCCACTCTCCGCAGTGTTGTTTGAAGACTTTTCTTTGAGGTGGTTTTTTTGGTTGTTGTTTTAACTTAATTTTGAGATTTATAAATATAAATCCTAAAAATACTTTTTAAGAAAAATATAAAATTAAGTAGTGGGTTTGGACATTTTTACTGAAGTACTTGTTCCCATATGATTAAATCTAAGACAGAATCCTTTGGAAAAAAATCAATAAAAAAAAAAAAACTTGCAGCTCTTCCAGTCAATGACTCGTGGCTTACCTGGTCAACCAGGGAGCTTGCTCCCCAGTGTGAGGAATGCCCAGGATGTCAGGATGACTGTCTTTAGCCAGTATCTAGGCATCCTGAATTGGGAAGAAGGTTGCATGAATAAATCAAAGCTCCTCTCTAACATAAAGAATCCTTGAGTTCCACAACCTGAAAGACTAAAGACCAATGCAAATTCCTAATTTCTAAGCTCTTTTGATTCCTACACAGTCACTTTTGACTACATTATAGAAGTGAATTTTTTTTTTTTTTGGCTTATGAACAATGGAAATTTATTTCTCACGGTTCTGGAGATTGGAAGTCTAAGATCAGGGTGCCAGCATGATCGGGTTCTGGTGAGGGCCGTCTTCTGATTTGCAAACTGCAGACTTCTCCTTGTACTCTCACATGGTCCAAAGAGTGAATGTGTTTTTCAATATTTCAGATGTAAGAAATGGACATTTTTTTTTAATCAAGTTAAGCCAAACTCTGAGCTCTTAGACCAAGCTAGGAGATGAGCCATTTACTTTCAGTGACTTTTCAACGTGCTCTTTCAGGGTTATTCTAGAATCTGAAATCATCACACAGGCATAGAAATTAGAGAATAGCTTCCATGTTCAGTCCACCATGGTCACTGCTGACATCCATGCAGTCCAAATCCTCCCAGTCAGTGTTTCCATATCCTTCCAATGCTCATGAGCTCCAGAGCCTTCACTCTTCAGGTCCAGGTTCTCCAACAACCATACGCCATGCTATCAGAGGGACTCTCAGAAGGGGGTCTGAGGTCTATCAAGTCAATCACTTCTCACTGTGTAAATAATGAGCGAGAAGCATCTCCTTGTCATTCACACAACCTGCCTTTACTGGAAATCACCCCATTCTTGGGAAGGCCAATCATCTCCCTGTCAAATGGACTAACATATAAATTCCCCAGCTCCTGGCTCCACTTCACAACCCCAGGAGATTATTTTCATTTTTAAGACTCCTCTAGGGGTCCTAAAAAACAAACAACTAAAAAAGGTTACATCCTCCGTGAAAGATAGGGGAGTTGTGGTGCAGAGGAATAGAGAAGTTAGTTGATGCATTGATGGGTGACATATTAGAAAGTCAGACTTACAAAAAATCCACATGGATCTCTATTTTCTGGAATGAGGAAACGGAAAGAAAATGCTTTTTTTTTCTTCCTGTTGGTCCATAATATCAAACAAACAACAGAAACACTAAGTAGTGTTTTTCTTCCTGATGCCCTATTGCTTCTCTACAGGTAATCACTGTGACCAACCAGGTCACAGGTTCATTCATTCAGTATGTACTGAGTCCTGTGCTGGACTTTGGGGGCACAGCAGGGAGCAAGACGTACATAGTACAGCATCTTCCCTCAGTATCTGTGGGGGATTGGTTCCCCTGACTGCAGATACCAAAATTTGTGGATGCTCAACTTCTTGATATAAATGGTGTAGTATTTATATATAACTTATACACCTTCTCCCTCCTGTACTTTGTCACCTCTAGATTACTTATAATACCTAATACAATGTAAATGCTGTGTAAATATTTGTTATACTGTGTTCTTTAGGGATTAATGATAAGGAAAATAAGTCCATATGTGTTCAGTACAGACACAATATTTCCCCCACATATATTCAGCCACATTTGGTTGAATCCACAGATGTGGAACTCAAGGATACAAAGGCTGTATTTTGCCTTCATAGAAATTAGTCTAGTGGGTATGTCAGGAAGTAAAAAAGGAGAACAAATCATTGTAAATGTGGTAAGTGCTTTGATAGGGATAGTCCCTGCGAGAGGAGTTAGTTTAGGTGGCATTCAAAGAAGGGGTCCAAGGAGGGGATATTTAAGCAAAGGCATGAAGGCTGAGGAGTTAGCCATGTACTGACTGCTGAGCAACTTTCCAGGGAGTGGGACCTGCAGGTAGCAGGAGGCCCTGAAGAGGGACAGGGTTTGGCTGGTCTGAGGAATTGAAGGTAGGTCAGCATAGTTTGAGCCTAAGGAGGAACAGGAAGAGAAATGTACCACGAGGAGGCTAGAGAGGAGACTGGAGCCATCAGGAGGACATTGAAGGCCATGAACAGGAGTATAAATTTCCTTCAAGTCCATAGAAGGCTTTAAGTAAGAGATTATGGAATCTGATTTAAATTTTAAAGATCATTCTGACTGTGGTGTGGAGAATGGTTGGAGGAGAGAGAAGTGCTAAGATGTACACACGGTAGTACACCTGCCACATAGGGAGAGCTCCGTAAATCAAAATGGGCTCACCTGTCACTTGTGCCTAGTCCTTGCACCACTCCAGTCCACTTGTCTCTGGGCACCTCCTCCCAACCCAAGCAAGCATGGTGGGCTGGCCTCAGCAGGAAGAGAAGGGAAGGAGGTGGTTCAGGGTTCAGGGTGGGTGTGAAAACATCACCTCTGCATCAATGTACTGACCCATCTCTCCCCTCAAATGCTGCTAGGTGCAGATAGTGAACTGGACTGTGTTGTTTTTGCCCACTGGGGTCAGAGATAAGAGGAAAGTGGCATTTTGCCAGCCCTTTCCAGTTATTCAGGCTGAATCCAGTTTCTGATATTTAAGGAGCCCTTTTGGAAAAAGGAAAATAATCCTCTATCAAATCAACAAAAAATATCTATTTAAAGTCTATTATGTTTAAGTCATTATGTGAGCCCTTTCAAGACATCTACCGTGAGAGGTCATGATTATATTCTTTGACCAAACTCTTATTATAATACAACTCCAAATAACTGCATTTTCAAATGTGAATTATTCATTTGTTTTACAAACACACATAATGCTTATAAATTACTAACTCTCCATGACAACCTTAAGATGCATGTTCTATTGTGCAGACACCAAGGCACAAAGAAGCTTCATAAGCAGGATTCAAGCCATGTAGTCTGTCTCCCAAATCTGTGCTTTTAACTCCTGTACTTTGTTACCTCTCCATTTAAAAATTCTGTTAATGAGAAGGCACTGACTCGTTGTACCAGGTTATTTTAAGTTTAACTTCAAACTCCAAATTCATTCACTTGACCTGCAGAGGGAAATGCTGCAGGGCTCCAGTGTGGTATGGACATGAGTATCAAATGCTGATGGTGACTTTGTTTGTTTGTTTCAAAGGATTATTGGGACTTTGCAGAACTCTGCAGAGTTTTCAGAAGCCTTTCACTGCCGCAAGAATTCCTACATGAATCCAGAAAAGAAATGCCGGGTTTGGTGATCTTCAAAAGAAGCAGTGCAGCCCTCGGCTAGACTTGCCAACACCACAGAAATGGAGAACTCTCTAACTGAGAGCAAATGGGCCCTAGGGGTCACTGTACTGACTCGGGGTGATTAACAGAGAGGGGAGCATCACAATACAAATCACATTAGGTTGTTCTAGAAAGGGTGTGGAGGGAGGAAGAGGGTCTGAGGTCTGTCAAGTCAATCACTTCTCACTGTGTAAATAATGCTTAATTTCTAAAGATAATATTACTGTTTATTTCTGTTTCTCATATGGTCTACCAATTTGCTGATGTCCCTAGAAAACAATGCAGAACCTTTGAGGTAGACCAGGATTTCGAATCCAAAGGGAAAAGAAGATGTGGAAGAATACAGTTAGGCACCAGAAGAACAGTAGGTGACACTATAGTTTCAAGCACATTGCCTAACTACTAGTTTTTACTTTTATTTGCAACATTTACAGTCCTTCAAAACCCTTCCAAAGAATTCTTATACACATTGGGGCCTTGGAGCTTATACAGTTTTAAACTCATTTTTGCCATACGTCAGTTATTCATTCTGTGATCATTTATTTGAAGCACTCTTAGAGCAAAAAATGAATGTCTAAAATTGTTTTTTGTTGTACCTGCTTTGACTGATACTGAGATTCTTAAGGCTTCCTGCAATTTTCTAAGCAATTTCTTGCTCTATCTCTCAAAACTTGGTATTTTTAAGAGATTTATATAAATGTAAAAATAATAATTTTTATATTTAATTATTAACTACATTTATGAGTAACTATTATTACAGGTGATCAATGAATATTGAAGTTTCAGCTTAAAATAAATAGTTGTGAACCAGGATCTGTAAAGTGATATGCAGATGAAAATTTGAGACTATTTAAACTTATAAATCATATTGATGAAAAGCTTGAAGCACAGACTTTAGGGTAAAAATTGCCATTGGACAGTTGTCTAGAGATATATATACTTGTGGTTTTCAAATTGGACTTTCAAAACTAAATCTGTCCCTTAGAGTATGTCTGATAAAAGGGCAAATCTGCATCTATGTAGCTCTGCGTCTCCTGTCTTTTCAGGTTTGTCATCAGATGGAAATATTTTGATAATAAATTGAAATTGTGAACTCATTACTCCCTAAGACTTTGTGACAGCTGTCTAACTTTAGAAGTGCATTTCTGAATTCTAGAAGTGACCTTCTAGAATTCTAAGTCACGAAGAGTTCTGGAAAAGAACTGTTTAGTGTTTGATAGGAATTCATCTTTTGAGGCTTCTATTCCTCTCTTTTGCTGTTCTATTGACTATTTTAGTTTATTACCAGATTAAGATTTTACAAAAGAGGTGCACTTCCAAAATTCTTACTTTTCCTAACAAAAGATGAAAGCAGGGCTTTTCTATCTAAATAATGAGTATTAGTTCCCTGCCTCTTGAAAAATGCCCATTTGCCTTTAAAAAAAAGTTACAGAAATACTATGACATAGGTGTGTAAATTGCATAAAGCATAAGTATACAGTTCAATAAACTTAACTTTAACTAAACAATGACCCTGTAGCCAGCACCTGTAAGAAACCGAGCAGTACTAGCACTCTAGAAGCACCTCCTTGTCACTTTATTTCTCCCAGAACGATAACTATCCTGACTTCTAATATTCACTAGCTTTGCCTGGTTTTGTCTTTTATACAGATAGAATCAATCAGTATGTATTCTTTCGTGCCTGGCTTCTTTCTCTCAGCCTTAACATTTGTGAGATTCCTCTGTATTATTGTGCTGATTGTGGATCTCATTCTCATTGCAGAATAATGTTCTATTGTGAGACTTATTACAATTTGTTCGTCCTATTGTTGATGGGCACTTCAGAACTTTCCAGTTTGGCGCTATTACAAATAGTGCAACTATGAATGTACTGCTTGTTACCATCTTACTTGAGCCTTCAATGGACTTATTTCTTCAAGTCCTTCCAAATAGTATTATAAGCATTGAAATTATAGTTTCAGGCCAACTGTGGATACCCTTACCCTTTCCTCCTTTATCACAACCACCATGATAATGGGTAATTTCAAGTATACTTATATCTATATTTCCTTAAAGTAAATTTAAAACTTACCTAAGTGATATTTGTAGTTGAAGTAATAGGAGCTCCCAGCTCTAATAAAACAGCTATCTCTTAACTTATTTTATTTCCATCATGTCAGAGCAGGTGAAGAGACAGAAGTGAAGAGTGACTAGTACAAATCATAAAAAGCCACTAGACTCTTCACTGTTAGCTTCTTAAAACATCAGGCTCGCATCCCTATGGAGGAACAACTCTCCGGTGCCTGGATCTCCTCTGTCTATAAATATAAGATTTTCTGGGCCTAAAGGATAGATCAAACTCAAAATAGCAATACCTCCCTATCCCTAACACATCCAGACATCATGAATTTTACATGGTACTCTTGTTGAATTCTACAGGGCCTTCTGATGTCTCTAAAACACTACCTATTATTTAGAGTTGTCACATCAGATAAGACATATCTCTAATCCCATCCATAAATCCAGTTCTACTGTGGCTGAGTTCTGGTCAAAGAAAGAAGGTTTAGAAGTTGAGACACAAAGGATTGGGAGCTGATGAAACTCACAAATGACAGTAGGAAGAAGCTCTCAACAATACCTGTTGGGAAGGAGTCTGCCTCCATGCCAGTGTTCGAGTGGATTGTAGGTGCAAAGTGGAAAGGATGCTGTCCAAAGAAAACAGTCCTTGTTCCAGCCCTATTCTGCCACTCCTGACAGGGTGACCTTGGGTATTTGCTGTATTCTTTTGGGCCTCTGCTTCTCTCACCTAAAAAACAAGAGAATTAGATTATATCAGTGGTTCTCAGCAAGAGAAGGAGTATGTGTCCACTGCTGCCTTCCCATGAATCTGTCTCCCAGTTATGAATCAGTGGGCAGGATAATCTGAAAACTCCCATTTAAGTGTCTGAGTCGAGTTAGACAAAATTTTAGTCCAAATAACAAGTACCAAAGTTTTATCAAGTTTGGGTCTGTGCTGCTGTTACTATTAACCATTTAAGTGGGGCAAAACCTTGCTAATTTTCTCAAAAGCATTTATCATTCCTGTTGCCACAGATGGAGTACTCAAACTAAAAGATATTTGTTACTTTGGAAAGAAGAAAGACTCTATTCTCAAAGTTTGCTAATCAGAAATTTTTATCAGTTTCAAGTCTCAAAAATACAAAATAAAAACAAACATTTTTAATACTATTGCTTTTATGCCTAGTCAACTCTGTTCCAAACTGCCAACTCCTGTGTAAATCTCTACCCCATTTATGTCTTGAAAAAATATTAAGATTAAATGGAGCTTTTATCTCTATAATCTTGTACTTCCCGCTAGCTTCAAATTGAATTTTTAGAAAATGAATGATACAAACTTTGTATCCAATATGTCCTTGTTTTCCCCACCCTTTTTCAGAGATCACCATGATTTTCTGATTGGATTTTTTTTCAAAAGTTAAGTGAAATGGCCATCAAATGTTATAGGGAGTCACTAGCATAATCAGATGACTTAGGCAAAAGCCAAAAGTAAGTGTCTTTGTCCACAGTCTCTAGGCTGAAGAAGTTGACCATTTGGTTGGTCAGGTGGAGAGAGGAGTCACATCTGACTGGTGTCAAAGTGGCACATGTTTATCTCATTCTAATCTTTTATCTAACAATGTTTTCTTAATTTCTGCTTCTTTGTATTTTGCATTTCCTCTAAAACAGTGAGAAACACTACTTTCATTTTCAACCTCACAGACAAAATGTTGTGTTTCTGTTTTGCTTGACAAAACAGATCTTCTCAGTTGTACAAAGGAAGTCTGGCAGGAAAATAATCATTGGCTCTTGCCAGAAATAATGATGAGTTTCCAACTTGGGAAGTATAGAAAGACTGGAAAGCCTAATGTTTATGATAAATTTTTATACTCTGGATTTTCCTTCTACTCAGAAACTAACAATTTTGCAGGTATTAGGCATACTAACATCCCATTTCACTCTTATAAATACACTTGATAGAATCTGCAACCTGACATTTATGCTATATCCAGGAAGACAAATGGAGTCAAGTATCTGTATTATCGTTTTACCTTGGTGTAAATCCTTCTTACGTGCTATGAATGCTCTATGTCCTCTGACATACTGCATCAGAGATGTAATGCTAAGACGTATCACAGCTTTATAATACCAAAGAAATAGGGATTCAAACACTAACTAGGGCTGGGTGCAGCGCCTCACACCTGTAATCCTAGCACTTTGGGAGTCTGAAGCAGGAAGATTGCTTGAGCCCAGGAGTTCGAGACTAGCATGGGTAACACAAGGAGACCCTATCTCTACAAAAAGTAAAATACAAAATTAGCCAGGCATAGTGGCACATGCCTGTGGCCCCAGCTACTCAAGAGGCTGAGGTGGAAGGATCACTTAAGCCCAGAAGGTCAAAGCTGTAATGAGCCATGATTATGCCACTGCACTCCAGCCTAGGCAACAGAGCAATACTGTCTCAAAAAAGAGCCAGAAAACCTAACCAGCAGAAAATATTTAGATGTGGTAAGTGAAAATACAAAAAGGGCACAATGTTGAGTATGCATTATCATATCAACTATGTTAAAATATTATTCCGTAGAAAAAGAGTTGGAAGAATATATGCCAAAAATTAACCGGGGCTATCTCTGGGTGGTAGTATTATAAGTGGTTCTTATTTTCCTTTTTTGGTTTTCTACATTTTAAGTTTTTCTGTAATAGGAAAATGTTACTCCTAAAAAGTCATTTTAAAAATGTTATTTGGAAGGAAAAAGAAAAGGAATATGAAAGGGAGGGGAGTGAGGGGGAAATTGACCCAAAAAGAAAAATAAAATTTCCCTGAATAAAAGGGTTGTTCATTCTTTAAGGACTTATTCAGTTTGATGTCTCAGGCAACTTAGACCCAAGGAACCTGGTGAAGTAGATTTTGTTCAAGAGCTTGCTGCCCCCAGGACAGGCCAGATCTGTTTATAAAGTAACTTTGACACACACTGTATAACACAGAATGGAGGAAGTTGCTGGACCTTCCTCTGAGACTTAAAGTGCCTCTGTGAGAACAAAGCCTGTAATCTAGAGGAGGTTTTGAGCTTTTTCTAAAAATGCTAAAAGGTTGACTGATCCACCACCTTCTCCCACCTGGTCCTTCACACCTCCCCAGTGCACCCAAAACCCCAGCATTTGCCAAACCCTGACCCAGATGAGGATACAGTGTATGGCTGTGAAACACAAACTGGTAGATTATGCAGTAATTAGATCTAAATGCTTCACCTGGTAGGTACCACGATTCACCTGGTGGTCAGCTGCTAAAATTTAGACGTTGAATAGGGAGGAAACAATGGGATACAGCTAATCCCAGGTGACTCACTGCTTAAATATGCTTAAATTTGATAAGACTTTAGTTGCAAATGTGAAAGTCAAAATCACGCTAAATAAGCCAAAACTAGAGTTTTTTTGACCCGCCTTACCACATATGGGGTGAGCGTGAGTAACTGGGCCTTCTTTCCCTGTCTACTTTATTGTTGCAGACTTGCTTTCTCTAAAGTCAAGTCATGATGGTCAGTCACACTCAGGCTCGGAGATTCTCCATTTCCTCTCCAAGAGAAGGACAGATTTCTTATCACAGTACGCATTTGACAAATCCTAGAGAAAAACCGATTGGCTTATTTTGGAAACATGGCCACCCCTGTGGACAATGCATGAGGAATTGGGGAGGTTGTAGAAATTATAATCTTTCATCTCCTATGGAGCCAAAGGATGACAATTTCTCAAAAGAAGAAAAGCACCATTCCAAGAAGAAGAAGAGGAAGAAGAAGAAGAAGCAGAAAAGAAGAAGAAGAAAAAGACATTAAAATCACCAGTAATTACCAGATAATTCTCAAAAGCTTCACAAAACATTTTGGGTTGGATTATATTGTGCATATTACTCTTAGAATAAATGTTATCTTTTCATTTTGTTTAATCAAAAAGAAGACATTATACCATTTAGTTAGATTTAATATTTAAGAAAATGAAGTTATTAATAAAGAAGAGTGGGAAGGAAGAGCAATGATACTATTTATTGTGAGCTGGGCACATAATTTAGGTTGTTTGCATAAAGTGTTCATTTAATATAGCTAACCTGTGAGGTTAATGTTAGTACTCCCATTTCTTTCCTTTTTTTTTTTTTTTTTTTGAGACGGAATTTTGCTCTTTGCCCCAGGCTGGAGTGCAATAGCAGGATCTCAGCTCACTGCAACCTCCGCCTTCTGGTTTCAAGCGATTCTCCTGCCTCCGCCTCCTGAGTAGCTGGGATTACAGGCGCCCACCACCAAGTCTGGCTAATTTTTGTATTTTTAGTAGAGACACGGTTTCACCATGTTGGCCAGGATGGTCTTGAACTCCTGACTTCGTGATCTCAAAGTTCTGGGATTACAGGCGTGAGCCACTCTGCCCAGCCAGTACCCCCGTTTCGTGGATGGTGAATTTAAGTTTCGGAGAGTTTAACTGATATATCCAGATTCACACAGAAAATGACAAGACCAGGGACGAAACCAAGTTATACTGAAGTGCAAAGTCCATGTAAATTTACTATCAAATCTGTACCTCACTATAAAATGCACTTAATCCTATCAAAATCAACTCATTGGCCGGGCACGGTGGCTCACGCCTGTAATCCCAGCACTTTGGGAGGCCAGGGCAGGCGATCACGAGGTCAGGAGAGTGAGACTATCCTGGCTAACACGGTGAAACCCCGTCTCTACTAAAAAAAAAAACACAAAATTAGCCGGGCATGGTGGCCAGCACCTGTAGTCCCAGCTACTCTGGAAGCTGAGGCAGGAGAATGGCGTGAACCCAGGAGGCAGAGCATGCAGTGAGCCAAGATTGTGCCACTGCACTCCAGCCTGGGTGACAGAGCAAGACTCCGTTTAAGGAAAAAAAAAAAAATCAACTGATTACTTATAGCTAATAAAAAGTAGTATATTTTTAAATTTCTTTATTACTTATAGTCTCCTATTTTAAAAGAAATAATACATATTAAGTATTTTAAGTAATTATATCAATAAACATTTATTAATCATCTTATATGTTCAAGATACTATATTGGAAACACAAAATTAGGAAAGAAAAGCAAGATAAAGCAATATTGTTTAGCCAGTACTGTACTTCTCTACTACATGTGCTCACTTACTCATTGATGAAACATTGAGCATTATTTATGTGTAGTGCACTATACTAGATCCATTAGAAGATAAATGAAAACAATTGTCTTTTAATATAGTAGAGACACTAAAAATGTACACAAACATATTACACAGCTAAACATATGGTATGCCAAGAGATATAGAGAAAACAAAATTTGAAAATTGAGAATTTCCTTTCCTATCATGGCGAAAACATCCTGCATGGGATAGAATGTAACTTGCATTTGACAATATGGCTGGGATTTTGGCAATTAAAGCAGAACATAAGGAAATATTTTGGCCCAAGAGTATCTCACAGGCAAGATTAGACAACAAAATAGTAAGAACCCCACAATTACTCTGTAGCAGTGCTAACTCTGAAAGAACATAGCAATGGGACCTATGCACTCTGAGTCTGTTGACACAGTTATTCATTATTTACAGTTGCCTTTTTGATGCCTGTACCAAGAAAAGCCTTCCTTATGTATTTGAACATCTTATGCTACTCTCAAAGTTTATTCATGATCATTCTACTGTGAAAGATGCCTTGAGCATTTCTTGGCATTTTGCTAGAAGCGTGATAGGATAACATTTCATCCTATTCCTGAGAATGTAGAACTCTCCTTTTATTTCAGCCCTGTTGCTAATTCATTGCACTGAGTAAATAACTAACTTCTCTGCATTTCTATTGTCTCAGAATTAAAATCATAGTTAGGATCAAGGCCTTGTGAAAATCATAAGGCAGACAGGTAGCATTTTGCAAACCACACTTTTTGAGAATGGTGAGAGATATCAGAGTGCACAGGAACTAGAGAACAGTGTTGTGAAACATCTGAATCGAGAGAGAGTCAGACAGACCCAGGGACACAGAAGGTCAAAGCAAAGACCCTCCAAATGTCTATAAGCATTTGACTCCTCAATTTCCTCCTCTGCAAAATGGCCATAATTACTTGCACCTCTTTGGGAACGATACTGTACCGGTTGCCAACGAATTATATTTGCAACTGCATTAAAATTTAAGACCTTTATTCTTACCTCTGACTTTTCCCT